AGTCCCCCCCCCGGTAGACCCCCTCCCCCCACTGGGTCCTGCTCCCTCAAGTGTGTCTCAGGTCGACCCACCCCCCTTGGATGAGCCAGTGGAGATCTCTTCTGACTCCTCTGGCCCAGCTGAGGGGGGTGACCCAGTTGCGGACGACACGGCGGCCACTCGCCGCTCTCCACGCTTGGAGACCCCCCCGGGTTTTCCGCCTCGACCGTCTTCGCCCCCTCCGCAGCCTGCTGCTGTGGACTCTGGAGCTGAGACTACATGTGCTGAGACAGAGGGTGAGGGTTCTGGAGGTGCTGTGCCTGGGGGTGCTGGTTCTGGGGGTGTTGCGACTGGGGGTGCTGACTCTGGGGGTGCTGCGAGTCCTAGTGGCGGTGGAGTTGTGGGTGACCCTGTTGGAGGTCCTGGAGCTGGAGGTACTAGAGGTGCTTCTAGTGCTGGAGGTGCTAGAGCTACCACTACTGGAGGTGCTGGAGCTGGACAGCCACCGCAGCCTGCTCTACTTGAGACACTCTCGCCGCAGGCGATTCGTGCGTGGGTCGTTCGGCGAGGCAGTCCTGGTGGTGGAGGGTACAGTCCTGCTGGTGCTGGAGCTACTAGTCCTAGAGGTGCTGCTGGTGCTGGAGCTACTAGTCCTAGAGGTGCTGGAGGTGCTGGAGGTGCTGGAGGTACTGCTGGAGGTACTAGAGGTGCTTCTGGTGCTGGAGGTACAGGAGCTGCTAAACCTGGAGGTACTGCTGGAGGTACTGGAGCTGCTGCTGGTGCTGGAGGTACTGGAGCTGCTAGTCCTGGAGGTGCTGCTGGTGCTGGAGGTACTGGAGCTGGAGGTACTGGAGCTATTGGTGCTGGAGGTACTGCGGGTACTGGAGTTGCTGGCACTGGAGGTGCTGGTGCTACTGGTGCTGGAGCTGCGGGAGCTGCTGGTCCTGGAGGTGCTCGTACTAGAGGTACTGGAGCTGCCGGAGCTGGTGGTGCTGCTCGTGTTGGAGGTGCTACTGGAGCTGCTGACCCTGGAGGTGCTGGTGTTGCTGGTGCTGGAGGCGCTGGAGCTGGAGGTACTGGAGGTGCTGGAGCTGCTGGTCCTGGAGGTGCTCGTACTAGAGGTGCTGGAGCTGCCGGAGCAGGTGGTACTGCTGGTGCTGGAGGTGCTGGAGGTGCTACTGGAGCTGCTGGCACTGGAGGTGCTGGTGCTGCTGGTGCTGGAGGCGCTGGAGCTGGAGGTACTGGAGGTGCTGGAGCTGCTGGTCCTGGAGGTGCTCGTACTAGAGGTGCTGGAGCTGCCGGAGAAGGTGGTACTGCTGGTGCTAGAGGTGCTGGAGGTGCCACTGGAGCTGCTGGCACTGGAGGTGCTGGAGGTACTGCTGGTGCTGGAGGCGCTGGAGCTGGAGCTGGAGGTACTGGAGGTGCTGGAGCTGCGGGTCCTGGAGGTACTCGTACCAGAGGTGCTGGAGCTGCCGGAGCAGGTGGTACTACTGGTGGTGGAGGTGCTGGAGGTGCTACTGGAGCTGCTGGCACTGGAGGTGCTGGAGGTACTGCTGGTGCTAGTGGTGCTGGAGGTGCTGGAGGTGCTGGTGCTACTGGTGCTGGAGGTGCTGCTGGGAGTGCAGGTGGAGCTGCTCGTGCTGGAGGTACGGGAGCTGCTGGTGCTCTTCGCCACCTTCTCAGTCTTCCGCCAGGTGCTACTGACTTCCCTGTGGCAGGTACTACTCCCCCGTTACTGTTTCCACCGGCCGACCAGTCTCAGCCGCCACTGCTACCAGACTCCCCACTGCCTGCTCCTACTCCTTACACTGCGGTGACACAGTCCCTGTCTGAGCGTCGAGAGCCTAAGACTCGTGCTTCCACCCCTGAGCGTCGAGAGCCTGAGTCTAGCTTTGACCTTGAGCCCGAGCCTAGAGCCGCTGTCCGTACTCGTGTTCGTCGTCAGCGTGCTCCGGCTATCCCAGGCACTCACGATATGACACTCCGTCCTTCCTCTGTTCCACAGCGTGTTGTCCTGCCGTTACCTCCTGCGTCCTCTCTTCCTGACATTGCTGACCCTCCGTCTGACCTTGCTCGTGCGTCCAGTCCGACTGTTACTCGCTTTCTTGCTACGGTGGTGACTGACCCTTCGTTCTCGTCTCCTGCTGCGTCTGCCTTAGTCGCTGAGCTCGTTGACTTGGCTGCTGTGTACCGCATAGACTACCTTGCGAGCCTTATTTCTGACCCTGTCCCTGCCTGTCCTCCGTCCGTCGGGGGTGAGACTGCCCTTGGCTGTACTGCCCTTGGCTGTGACGTTCTTGAGGACAGGCAGGAGGAGCTGGAGTGCCTTGCGGCCACTGCACCCCATCTTGCGACCATGCTGCTTGCCCCTGAGGGAGACCCGGATGCACTTGACATCCCCACCCCGCGCTCTTACAGAGAGGCGATTTCGGGTGAGTACTCCTCTCAGTGGCAGACAGCCATGGACGCAGAGATGGCTTCCTGGAAGTCCACAGGCACCTACGTCGACGAGGTTCCCCCACCTGGGGCGAACATTGTCAGTGGCATGTGGATTTTCATAGTGAAGCGGCCGCCGGGTTCTCCGCCTGCCTACAAGGCACGTTACGTTGCTCGAGGCTTCAGTCAGCGTGCGGGGGTCGACTTCTTTCAGACCTTCTCCCCTACCCCGAAGATGACCACTCTTCGGGTGTTGCTGCACGTTGTAGCATAGCGCGACTACGAGCTTCACTCCCTCGACTTCTCGACAGCTTTCCTACAGGGTAGCCATCACGAGGCCATCTGGTTGCGCCGTCCAGAGGGCTTCACTGGGTCGTTTCCTGAGGGTACCCAGTGGAGCCTAGGGCGACCAGTGTATGGCCTGCGTCAGGCGCCCCGCGAGTGGCACCACACACTGAGGACGACACTTGCGGCTCTTGGGTTTGCTCCTTCGACTGCTGACCCGTCGCTGTTTCTACGCACCGACACTACTCTGCCGGCGTTCTACATCTTCGTGTACGTCGACGACTTGGTTTTTGCTACTGCTGACACTGAGGCACTGGCCCTAGTGAAGGCGGAGCTGCAGGAGAGACACACCTGCATTGACCTGGGTGAGTTGCGGAGCTATCTTGGCTTGTAGATCACCGGGGACAGAGCACGGCGCACCATCACCCTGACTCAGTCACACATGGTGCACCAGTTCCTTCAGCGCTTCGGCTTCTCGTGGTCCTTGCCACAGCCCACTCCTCTGTCTACCGGCCACTCGCTCTCAGCTCCACCTTCGGACGAGTCCGTAGAGCCGAGTGGTCCGTACCCAGAGCTTGTGGGTTGCCTCATGTACCTGATGACGTGCACACGACCTGACCTCGCGTACCCTCTCAGCCTCCTGGCTCGTTACGTGGCACCTGGTAGACACCGAAAGGTGCGCTTTGATGCTGCGAAGAGGGTACTGCGTTACTTGTGCAGTACATCGGGCATGGGGCTCGTGCTTGGAGGACGGGGTTCGGTGGTCCTCACAGGACACTCTGACGCTTCTTGGGCCGACGACCAGACGACTCAGCGTTCGTCATAGGGTTACACCTTCAGTCTTGGCTCTGGTTCTTTTTCGTGGAGGTCCACTCGTTCTTCTTCTGTGCTTGGCTCCAGCTGCGAGGCCGAGATCTACGCTGGGGCCATGGCTGCACAGGAGCTACGCTGGCTGACCTACCTGCTGACCGACTTGGGGGAGCGGCCTCGTTCTCCTCCAGTTCTGTACGTCGACAACAAGGCAATACTTGCCTTGTGTCGCGAACAGAGACTGGAGCACAGAACGAAGCACATTGCTCTTCGCTACTTCCTTGCGCATGAGCTGCAGCAGCGTGGTCAGCTGCGCCTTGCTTACGTGGCCTCTCGGGCCAACACTGCTGATGTCTTCACCAAGGCCCTTGGGTCTGGTGATCATCAGTGTTTCTGCACAGCTCTTGGGCTTGTGCCCACTCTGCCTCACCTGCTGGTTGCTTGACTTGCTCTTGTTGTACACTGATATATATCTTTATACCTGCTTGTTTACCTTTGCTAGGTTGTGATCAGTGTACTGCCTTGCTATTATAACTCTGCATGTGAACTGGCCTTGTGGCCGCTTGCTTGTGCTCAGAATGCGTGGTGATCTTAAGATCCACCCTGAGCTTTGCTTTGCTTTGTCCTCTTGCTTGACTGGTCTTGTGACCGTCTGTTGTGTTTGCTCTCTCCCACTTAGCCTATGGGGGTGTGTCAAACTGTATGTTTGTGTTCTCTCTAGGCTATAGTGGGTTAGCCTACAAAGGGTACAACACTTTAGGGTTAGGTACTTGTACTCATGCATGCTACCTAGTCTATCATTCCTGCCTGCTTATTCTAACAACTGATGGTAGCAGCCTAAAATTTCTCATACACTGATTGTATCAGCCTGATACTATCAGGGTAAAAATGTTGATACCCTGTTTGTAGAGCAAAAAATCAAAAATATTAATTTCTCAAATACGAGTCTACTTACTTAAACAACCAGTGCACCGCGGGAACTGCATGGCTGTTGCTGCAGAACCACCACGACTGCCATGTGCTGCAAAGGACCGCACGAAACACACTTGGCGCGCAAACTGGCACCGTTGGCAGTGAGCGTGGCTTGATGTGGCTGGATTTACGGTTGCGTTGGCGCAACTGTGGCTCAAAGGACCAATCGGACGAGCAGGCGTGCCTCCGACAACATTTGACGGTGGTGCGCCTGTGGTCATTAAAGACAAGTGTGACAATGGGCTTGTGGTGACTTCTGTCGTCACGTGGTGTGTGGCTCAATTCGCGGTAAAGGAAGATTCGGTATCAGTGTAGTTGGCATCGTACCCTGATACAGTCAGTGTAAAAAAAATTCCTACCAGTGTAGATGAAACCGTAGCCTTTTGATGCTAGGGTAATAATATCCATAGGCTGATTTGGCAAGGGTAACTGGGAAAAAGCGGCCTATGGTCAGGGCAAAAAGGGTAAAATACCCTGATAAAATAGGCCCTGGGTACAAGTGAATACTCAGGACGAAATTAAGCTTCATCATGAAACACCCGAGGTCGCGACATCTCCTCTTTCTCGCTGAGCTCGTCGTACTGATACCAGTCGTTGGCAAACCACCCAACAGGCATGGGAGGCCGCACAAACACCTCAATGCCCTTGGGCACATGCACCACCACCTCCACATCGCTTTCTTGCTTCCCAAACAAACCGCTGCTCCCATGGCCATCGTTGTCATTGTAATCGTTGCCCAGTGTTTGGTTACCAGGGTCTTCGAAGCAAGCGATATCGCCGTGAGCGTCGTTAGCAGCATTGGGATCATCCCAAGTGCCAGTAGGCTCCACGTGTGCAGCATGTGAACTGGTGGTGGCGTCAGTAGATGACACGTCAGCATCGGGGTTGGTGCGCTGACGTGGCTTTACGCCAGACAAGGAGACCCACCCCAGGCCGGAGATTGCAATGTCAGCTACCGGGCTGGTGGATTGGGGCAGGAGGGACAGACCACAGGCCGTTTTGAGGCAAAACCACAGGAAGAATGTATGCCAATAAATGATGGTGCATGGTGCATGGCAAATAGCATGGGACAAAATCACTTGTGGAAGCCCCGCAGGAAACCATTGTCGAAGGACAACTATACATGCAAAACGCACCTGGAGCGCTTGGCAGGCAGGCGGAAGGAGAAGGCCCGCTGCGACGGCAGCCCCTCCCAAGCTGGTTCCTCCAATGGCTTGGATGGCGGCACGAGCAGTCGACCCACCTCAGCCTGCCACGTCAGCCAGACATGTGAGGCACAGAGGACGTGCGGAAGGAGAGAGAGCAGCAGAGGATGTGAGGGAGGGTGAGATTGAACCGGTGTGGGGATTCCACACAGATAGGGTGCGAGGAGAGGGATGGAGGTGTGCAGTGCAGTGAGAAGGTGCATGAAGAGGTATGTGTTGGCAGGAAGGAGGTAGGAAAGGAAACCAAACCTCATAGAAGGCATCGGCGGCAGGGGTGAACACGGAGGACACACGGATGGCCACGGGGCCAAAGAAGGTGAGAGCTGCTCCAGCTGGCGCCTTCACCACATCGATCCGAACGAGGCCGCCCCAAAAGAGAGAGGTGCCTTGTAGCCCCTTCTGCTCTCCGCTGGTACCCTCCTCTGCACGCCCTTCCCTTCCTGCTCCTTCCACACTCCCTTCCTGCTCCCCCTTCTCCTCCGCTTTCACGCCTTTCTCTTCTGCCTTTTCCTTTCCTTTGCCTGCGCCTGTCTGCTGGTCCAGAGGCCCGGTAACAACGAACGATCTCAGCCGTCGCTTTGGGCCGAGTTGGTGCAGATCCCACGGATGCAGCATGGCAGCCATGCGATGGTGCAGATGCACCCCGGGCGTGTCGTACAGATCCTGGGAGAACGTGCAAGGGGGAGGGGGGAACGTGCAAGGGGGAGGGGGAAACGTGCAAGGGGGAGGGGGGAACGTGCAAGGGGGAGGGGGGAACGTGCAAGGGGGAGGGGGGAACATATCTCGTTTGTTTTACACGCAGCAGCAACAGACTATTGTCTCAACACACTAGCATTGCAGCCATGCCCCAGATGCAACCCAGCATGGCAGCGGCCACGAGGCAACAGCGGTGTGGTGCGAGAGCAACAAGAGTACACAGACCAGCTGTACCGCACTGCACTCACCCCTCCACCGGAGAAAGCCTTGAGGCAGATGGGCCCGAGGGTGGTCCCCGGCATGGCAGAGGCCACGGGGCGACGGCAGTGCGGATTAAGAGCAACAAGAGGACACAGACCATCTGTACCGCACTGCACTCACCCCGCCTCCAGAGAAGGCCTTGAGGCAGATGGGCCCGAGGGTGGTCCCAGGCATGGCAGAGGCCACGGGGCGACGACGCCGAGCTGCTGCTGCCATGATGTCCCGACTCGCCATCTCGTCTGTGGGATGGGGTTGATTTGAAAAGGAAAGGGGGTGCAGGGGAAAGGGGGGGTTGTAGAGTAGAGATGCATGTGCAGCGTGATGTTGCTGCTGCTGCCATGCCATGATGTCCCGACTCGCCATCTCGTCTGCACGATTAAGGGACACCACACCAGAGGTAGGATGGGTGAATGGACATGTGCGTCTGCATGTGAATGTGAAGGTGCAACGCAAATAGAGCTGCAGGTCATGCCATGCAATGAAGCTGTGACGCTGGCTAGGCATCCCATGTGTCATGTCTGTTCATGATGGTACTGGAATGCAGCAACACCCAAAGAGCACGCACCATTGCGGCAACACAGCAGTCAAATGGGATCGTAATGAGTAGAGACTGAAGCGCCAATGAAATGAATGAATGCATTTCTGGCTAGCCTAGTGTTGAGATGTGTCGGAGCGCGTACCAAGCAGAGCGCAGATGAATGCGGACTTGCCCACATTGGCCGCTCCCTGATGAAGAGATGATAGCGAAGAGAGGGTTGGAAACGAGGGGGAGGAGTGGAGGAACAGAGAAGCGGAGAGGGGGAGAGGTGGAGAGGAGGCAAGGAGGAGAGGATGAAAGGAGGAAAGGAGGAGAGGAGGAGAGGCAGAGAGGAGGAGAGGAGGAGACACAGGAGCCCGAAGGAAGAGAGAGAAGAGGTGAGGAGAATGAAAGTAGTGGCAACACTTGAACGGGGTCTGAAAGACTTGAGCGGAGAGTGCTAGCTAGTGACCAACTGGAATGTGCAGAGCTTGCTAAGTGTAGGGAGTTCTGGTTCCAACGGTTTTGTAGGAGCGCATAGGGGCAGAGAAGGGGCAGAGAGGACAATGCAACGCAGGAAACGCGAGTGACCCTCAGAGACAGTGGTGTGGAGAGAACATGCACGCCTAAGGATCTGTGTTTTGGATGCAGTAGTGGTTGTAGCGTGTACTTACCAGGACATAGACGTCTCGTCCCTGCACACAGCAAACAGCAAGCACGTGAGGGAGAGGAAGAGGAGGAGGAGGAGGAGGAAGAGGAGGAGGAGGAGGAGGAGGAGGAGGAGGAGGAGGAGGAGGAGGAGGAGGAGGAGGAGGAGGAGGAGGAGGAGGAGGTGGAGGAGGAGGAGGAGGAGGAGGAAGTGGAGGAATTGGGAGGAAAGGAACTATGAGCTGATTACAACAGGTGGAAGCTGGAACAAGAGAGCAACAGACTCATGGTGAGGAGGAGGAGCACAACAGAACAAACATCTCTGGTAAGTGATGTGTGAGAGCAGAGCAGGACAGAGCAGCGCAGAGCAGAGAAGAGCAGAGCAGCGCAGAGAAGAGCAGAGCAGAGCAGCGCAGATCAGAGCAGAGCAGAGCAGCGCAGATCAGAGCAGAACAGAGCAGCGCAGAGCATAGCAGAGCAGCGCAGAGCATAGCAGAGCAGTGCAGAGCAGAGCAGAGCAGAGCAGAGCAGCGCAGAGCAGCCCAGAGCAGAGCAGCGCAGAGCAGAGCAGCACAGATCAGAACAGAGCAGCGCAGAGCAGAACAGAGCAGCGCAGAGCAGAGCAGAGCATTGCAGAGCAGAGCAGAGCAGAGCAGCGCAGAGCAGAGCAGCACAGATCAGAACAGAGCAGCGCAGAGCAGAGCAGAGCAGCGCAGAGCAGAACAGAGCAGAGCAGAGCAGAGCAGCGCAGAGCAGAACAGAGCAGCGCAGAGCAGAGCAGAGCAGCGCAGAGCAGAGCAGAGCAGAGCAGAGCAGAGCAGAACAGAGCAGCGCAGAGCAGAGCAGAGCAGCGCAGAGCAGAGCAGAGCAGCGCAGAGCAGAGCAGAGCAGCGCAGAGCAGAGCAGAGCAAGGAGCAGCGCAGAGCAGAGCAGAGCAGCGCAGAGCAGAGCAGAGCAGAGCAGCGCAGAGCAGAGCAGAGCAGCGCAGAGCAGAGCAGAGCAGCGCAGAGCAGAACAGAGCAGCGCAGAGCAGAGCAGAGCAGAGCAGAGCAGCGCAGAGCAGAGCAGAGCAGAGCAGACCAGCGCAGAGCAGCGCAGAGCAGAGCAGAGCAGGGCAGAGCAGCGCAGAGCAGCGCAGAGCAGAGCAGCGCAGAGCAGAGCAGCACAGATCAGAACAGAGCAGCGCAGAGCAGAGCAGAGCAGCGCAGAGCAGAACAGAGCAGCGCAGAGCAGAGCAGAGCAGCGCAGAGCAGAACAGAGCAGCGCAGAGCAGAGCAGAGCAGCGCAGAGCAGAGTAGAGCAGAGCAGAGCAGGACAGAGCAGCGCAGAGCAGAGAAGAGCAGAGCAGCGCAGAGAAGAGCAGAGCAGAGCAGCGCAGATCAGAGCAGAGCAGAGCAGCGCAGATCAGAGCAGAACAGAGCAGCGCAGAGCATAGCAGAGCAGCGCAGAGCATAGCAGAGCAGTGCAGAGCAGAGCAGAGCAGAGCAGAGCAGAGCAGCGCAGAGCAGCCCAGAGCAGAGCAGCGCAGAGCAGAGCAGCACAGATCAGAACAGAGCAGCGCAGAGCAGAACAGAGCAGCGCAGAGCAGAGCAGAGCAGCGCAGAGCAGAGCAGAGCAGAGCAGCGCAGAGCAGAGCAGCACAGATCAGAACAGAGCAGCGCAGAGCAGAGCAGAGCAGCGCAGAGCAGAACAGAGCAGAGCAGAGCAGAGCAGCGCAGAGCAGAACAGAGCAGCGCAGAGCAGAGCAGAGCAGCGCAGAGCAGAGCAGAGCAGAGCAGAGCTGAACAGAGCAGCGCAGAGCAGAGCAGAGCAGCGCAGAGCAGAGCAGAGCAGCGCAGAGCAGAGCAGAGCAAGGAGCAGCGCAGAGCAGAGCAGAGCAGCGCAGAGCAGAGCAGAGCAGAGCAGAGCAGCGCAGAGCAGAGCAGAGCAGCGCAGAGCAGAGCAGAGCAGCGCAGAGCAGAACAGAGCAGCGCAGAGCAGAGCAGAGCAGAGCAGAGCAGCGCAGAGCAGAGCAGAGCAGAGCAGAGCAGCGCAGAGCAGCGCAGAGCAGAGCAGAGCAGGGCAGAGCAGCGCAGAGCAGCGCAGAGCAGAGCAGCGCAGAGCAGAGCAGCACAGATCAGAACAGAGCAGCGCAGAGCAGAGCAGAGCAGAGCAGCGCAGAGCAGAACAGAGCAGCGCAGAGCAGAGCAGAGCAGCGCAGAGCAGAACAGAGCAGCGCAGAGCAGAGCAGAGCAGCGCAGAGCAGAGTAGAGCAGAGCAGAGCAGGACAGAGCAGCGCAGAGCAGAGAAGAGCAGAGCAGCGCAGAGAAGAGCAGAGCAGAGCAGCGCAGATCAGAGCAGAGCAGAGCAGCGCAGATCAGAGCAGAACAGAGCAGCGCAGAGCATAGCAGAGCAGCGCAGAGCATAGCAGAGCAGTGCAGTGCAGAGCAGAGCAGAGCAGAGCAGCGCAGAGCAGCCCAGAGCAGAGCAGCGCAGAGCAGAGCAGCACAGACCAGAACAGAGCAGCGCAGAGCAGAGCAGCGCAGAGCAGCCCAGAGCAGAGCAGCGCAGAGCAGCCCAGAACAGAGCAGCGCAGAGCAGAACAGAGCAGCGCAGAGCAGAGCAGAGCAGCGCAGAGCAGAGCAGAGCAGAGCAGCGCAGAGCAGAGCAGCACAGATCAGAACAGAGCAGCGCAGAGCAGAGCAGAGCAGCGCAGAGCAGAACAGAGCAGAGCAGAGCAGAGCAGCGCAGAGCAGAACAGAGCAGCGCAGAGCAGAGCAGAGCAGCGCAGAGCAGAGCAGAGCAGAGCAGAGCTGAACAGAGCAGCGCAGAGCAGAGCAGAGCAGCGCAGAGCAGAGCAGAGCAGCGCAGAGCAGAGCAGAGCAAGGAGCAGCGCAGAGCAGAGCAGAGCAGCGCAGAGCAGAGCAGAGCAGAGCAGCGCAGAGCAGAGCAGAGCAGCGCAGAGCAGAGCAGAGCAGAGCAGCGCAGAGCAGAACAGAGCAGCGCAGAGCAGAGCAGAGCAGCGCAGAGCAGAGCAGAGCAGAGCAGAGCAGAGCAGCGCAGAGCAGCGCAGAGCAGAGCAGAGCAGGGCAGAGCAGCGCAGAGCAGCGCAGAGCAGAGCAGCGCAGAGCAGAGCAGCACAGATCAGAACAGAGCAGCGCAGAGCAGAGCAGAGCAGCGCAGAGCAGAACAGAGCAGCGCAGAGCAGAGCAGAGCAGCGCAGAGCAGAACAGAGCAGCGCAGAGCAGAGCAGAGCAGCGCAGAGCAGAGTAGAGCAGAGCAGAGCAGGACAGAGCAGCGCAGAGCAGAGAAGAGCAGAGCAGCGCAGAGAAGAGCAGAGCAGAGCAGCGCAGATCAGAGCAGAGCAGAGCAGCGCAGATCAGAGCAGAACAGAGCAGCGCAGAGCATAGCAGAGCAGCGCAGAGCATAGCAGAGCAGTGCAGAGCAGAGCAGAGCAGAGCAGAGCAGAGCAGCGCAGAGCAGCCCAGAGCAGAGCAGCGCAGAGCAGAGCAGCACAGATCAGAACAGAGCAGCGCAGAGCAGAACAGAGCAGCGCAGAGCAGAGCAGAGCAGCGCAGAGCAGAGCAGAGCAGAGCAGCGCAGAGCAGAGCAGCACAGATCAGAACAGAGCAGCGCAGAGCAGAGCAGAGCAGAGCAGCGCAGAGCAGAACAGAGCAGCGCAGAGCAGAGCAGAGAAGCGCAGAGCAGAGCAGAGCAGAGCAGAGCAGAACAGAGCAGCGCAGAGCAGAGCAGAGCAGCGCAGAGCAGAGCAGAGCAGAGCAGCGCAGAGCAGAGCAGAGCAGCGCAGAGCAGAACAGAGCAGCGCAGAGCAGAGCAGAGCAGAGCAGAGCAGCGCAGAGCAGAGCAGAGCAGAGCAGAGCAGAGCAGAGCAGCGCAGAGCAGCGCAGAGCAGAGCAGAGCAGGGCAGAGCAGCGCAGAGCAGAGCAGCGCAGAGCAGAGCAGCACAGATCAGAACAGAGCAGCGCAGAGCAGAGCAGAGCAGAGCAGAGCAGCGCAGAGCAGAACAGAGCAGCGCAGAGCAGAGCAGAGCAGCGCAGAGCAGAACAGAGCAGCGCAGAGCATAGCAGCGCAGAGCAGAGCAGCGCAGAGCAGAGCAGCACAGATCAGAACAGAGCAGAGCAGAGCAGAGCAGCGCAGAGCAGAGCAGAGCAGAGCAGAGCAGAGCAGAGCAGAGCAGAGCAGAGCAGCGCAGAGCAGAGCAGGGCAGAGCAGCGCAGAGCAGCGCAGAGCAGCGCAGAGCATAGCAGAGCAGTGCAGAGCAGAGCAGAGCAGAGCAGAGCAGAGCAGCGCAGAGCAGAGCAGAGCAGAGCAGAGCAGAGCAGAGCAGAGCAGAGCAGCGCAGAGCAGAGCAGGGCAGAGCAGCGCAGAGCAGCGCAGAGCAGAGCAGCACAGAGCAGAACAGAGCAGCGCAGAGCAGAGCAGAGCAGAGCAGAGCAGCGCAGAGCAGAACAGAGCAGCGCAGAGCAGAACAGAGCAGCGCAGAGCAGAGCAGAGCAGCGCAGAGCAGAACAGAGCAGCGCAGAGCAGAACAGAGCAGCGCAGAGCAGAGCAGAGCAGCGCAGAGCAGAGCAGAGCAGAGCAGAGCAAGGAGCAGCGCAGAGCAGAGCAGAGCAGCGCAGAGCAGAGCAGAGCAGCGCAGAGCAGAGCAGAGCAGCGCAGAGCAGAGCAGAGCAAGGAGCAGCGCAGAGCAGAGCAGAGCAGCGCAGCGCAGAGCAGCCCAGAGCAGAGCAGCGCAGAGCAGAGCAGAGCAGCGCAGAGCAGAGCAGAGCAGCGCAGAGCAGAACAGAGCAGCGCAGAGCAGAGCAGAGCAGAGCAGAGCAGAGCAGAGCAGAGCAGCGCAGAGCAGAGCAGAGCAGAGCAGAGCAGCGCAGAGCAGTGCAGAGCAGAGCAGAGCAGGGCAGAGCAGCGCAGAGCAGAGCAGCGCAGAGCAGAGCAGAGCAGCGCAGAGCAGAGCAGAGCAGAGCAGAGCAGAGCAGAGCAGAGCAGCGCAGAGCAGAGCAGGGCAGAGCATCGCAGAGCAGCGCAGAGCAGAGCAGCACAGAGCAGAACAGAGCAGCGCAGAGCAGAGCAGAGCAGAGCAGAGCAGTGCAGAGCAGAACAGAGCAGCGCAGAGCAGAACAGAGCAGCGCAGAGCAGAGCAGAGCAGCGCATAGCAGAACAGAGCAGCGCAGAGCAGAACAGAGCAGCGCAGAGCAGAGCAGAGCAGAGCAGCACAGAGCAGAGCAGAGCAGAGCAGAGCAAGGAGCAGCGCAGAGCAGAGCAGAGCAGAGCAGCGCAGAGCAGAGCAGAGCAGCGCAGAGCAGAGCAGAGCAGAGCAGAGCAGAGCAGCGCAGAGCAGAGCAGAGCAGCGCAGATCAGAGCAGAGCAGCGCAGATGTGTGCACCTGGCGTTCGCGCTGGATTGTGGCTGCCACTGACGACAGCCCTGTGCGCGCCTTGGCACTCACAAAGTGCACCGCCAGCACACTGGGAGGGACGGGAGGGGTAAGGGGGACGGTGGGGGAAAGGGGCGGAGAGGGGTGGAGGAGGAGGAGAAGGAGGGCCATTGCGGCCACTGACGACAGCCCTGTGCGCGCCTTGGCGCTCACAAAGTGCACCGCCAGCACGCTGGAAGGGAGGAGGAGGGAGCGGAAGAGGGGAGGGGGAGCGGGGGAAGGAAGGTTAAGGCGGCAAAACATGACAGCCCTGTGCGGGCCTTGGCACTCACAAAGTGCACCGCCAGCACACTGGGAGGAACAGGAGGGGTAAGGGGGTCGGGGTGTCAAGGGGGGGGGGTTGGGCAAACAGGCAGGAGGCAGGATGGCGGGGGGTCGTGATGCAGTGGGTGGGTGACCGTCAAACATGCATTTGCATTCACAGAAAACACTGAGCTCACGGGGAAAAGAAACACTGATTTAAACCTGAGTCAATTCTGAGGATTCTCAATAGGCAGCGCTGCAATGCGAGTGCACTGGAAGGTGGTCTGTCTGACGACCCACCCACGGGTGGAGGAGGAGTTGCACAAGAGTGCTTTCAGTCAGTCAGTCAGCCCAAACCACGCCATTGATTAGCCCCAACACCCTGAACCCTAAACCAAAGTACCTCTTAACACCTACGCCCCCCACCCTGCGCCGTGCACAGGGGACTCACTTGAGCTTCTTCTTTGCCACGGCTGCCAGCACCCAGTCCGCCACCGGGTCCATGTGTGTGCCCTCTGGCACCAGATCCACCTGCGTGGGGTAGGGGGGGGAAGAGGAAGGGAAGGGGTTCTCTCAGGAAGCAGGAGGTGAGGGGGCAAGGGAGTGGAAACGGCTGGCTGCCAGCACCCAGTCCGCCACCGGGTCCATGTGTGTGCCCTCTGGCACCAGACCCACCTGCAGTAAAAGGGGGAGGGGTGTGCAGGGGGTACAGGGGGGGTGAAGGATCCCTGTGTGTTCGGGGAAGGGGGCAGGGCGCGAGGGGGCTGCCAGCACCCAGTCCGCCACCGGGTCCATGTGCGAGCCCCCCTCTGGCACCAGATCCACCTGGGGTGAAGGGCGAGATGGGGAGGAGGGGAGGGAAGGAATTAGCAAGCATGGGCAGGGGCTAGCTCAGAGGCAGGGGGTTATGGGGTAAGGATGCGGCTGCCTGCCAGCCAGCACCCAGTCCGCCACCGGGTCCATGTGCGAGCCCCCCTCTGGCACCAGATCCACCTTCATTAAGGGGGGGAGAGGCGCAGGGGGGTGCAGGGGGGTGCAGGGGGGTGCAGGGGGGTGCAGGGGGGTGCAGGGGGGTGCAGGGGGGTGCAGGGGGGGTGAAGGATCTGTGTGTGTGTGTGGTAAGGTCCACATCAATAGCGACGAAGCAGGGGGCAGCGAGGGGCAAGGGGTAGGGGGCAACGGGCAGATGTGTGCATGACCCTCCATCCCCCACCCTTGAGAATTATCGGTAGTCCTCTTCCCTCACCTTGGTGATGACGAGAACGATGGGGTTCGGTCCCACGATGTCACGGATCCTTGAGAGGAAGCTTCCACTGAAGTCAACGAGGTCAACGAGCTTCACCACCAGCGCCTTCTCCCCCCGCACGTACGTCAGCTGCTGCCGCAGCGCCTCCGCTGTCACAAACATGTCCGCCGGTCCGGTTACGCGGTAACCGCCGTGGCCCGTGACGGCTGCCACCATGCGGCCGTGGGAGAGCTGCTGGCAGCGCGTGCACACGAGAGAGCGCAGCTGCTTGTGACGTTTTTTCTGGGAGAAGGGAGAAGAGGGGGGTGGGAGGGGGCGGGGGAGTAGAAGGAGCTTTGGATCGCTTAGGTGCTGTGGCCTGTGACGGCTGCCCCCGTGCGACTCTGTGAGAGCTGCTGGCAGCGCGTGCACACGAGCGAGCGCAGCTGCTTGTGACGCCGCTTCTGGGAGAAGGGAGAAGGGGGGCCAGGGGGGTCCAGGGAGAGGAGAAGGAAGAAGGGAGAAGGGAGAAGGGAGAAGGGAGACAGGAAGGGGGTGTCCGGGTAGAGGAGAAGGAGCTTTGGATCGCTTAGGTGCTGTGGCCTGTGACGGCTGCCCCCATGCGACTCTGTGAGAGCTGCTGGCAGCGCGTGCACACCAGCGACCGCAGCTGCTTGTGACGCCGCTTCTGGGAAGAGGCGAACAGAGAAGTAAGAAGGGGAGAAGTGGGGTGGTTGAGAGCAGAGCAGGCAGCATGTGAGTGAGTGTGGTTGAAATGAAACTCCGCCCCGCCCTGCACTGCACTGCACCCATAGCACAATGGCACGCCTGTGCTCACACCCTCCCATATCCTCCCTGTGCCCTGAGACGAGATTCCACAGCAGACTTAACTCAAACCTCACCACCTCGCACTTTAACGCTCACCATCGCGTATCGATCGGGGGGGATGTACCCCCGGGCCGGGCGTCCTCCCCTCGTGTGTGCAGCTCCGCCCCGCACCCATAGCACACCGGCACACCTGCTCTCACGCGCTCCCCTCAACGCCTATCCTGTGCTCTGAGCCCATCCACCCACAGAGGACTCAACTCGCGACTCACCATCTCGTATCGGTCAGGGGGAATGTACCCAGGAGCGTCCTCCACACGCGTCTGCAGCTCCGCCCCGCACCCATAGCACACCGGCACGCCTGGCCTCACGCCCTCCCCCGGCTTCCCTGGGGACGGCACCCCCCGCGGCCGCGCCAGCTTCAGCTTGGGGGCGCGCGCAGGGGCGGGGGAGGCGGAGGGGGAGGCGGAGGGGGGGGCGGAAGGGGAGGGGGAAAGGGAGGGGGAAGGGGAGGGGAAAGTGGAGGGGGGAGGAGAAGGGGAACGGGAAGGGGAAGGGGCGGAAGGCAGGGCAGGGGGAGAAGGGGCCGCTGCTGTGAGGGGAAGGAGGGATGCGCCTGCTGCTGACGCTGCTGCTGCCGTTGCTGCCACCGTCGCTCCCCCCGTTGCTGCGGCTGTCCCAAACGACCTTGTCCTGGCTTCACCCCTGTCCTCCTCCTCCTCCCCATACTCCCCCCACTGCCGCCTGCTGACACCTCTGCTGCCTCTGCTGCCGCCGCTGGGGCCTCTGCTCCTCGTGTCCCCTTCCTCCAAGCCCTCCTCTTCCCCACCCACACGCCTGGACTCCCCAACCCACCCACCACCACCTCTTCCTTCCCTACCATAGCCCCTCTCCCTCCCAGCCGCCTTCCACCCCTCCTCTCGCGCCTCCCTTCTCACCCCCATCTCACTCGTCTCCTCCCTCCTCCCCTCAGGTAAACCCTCCCTCTCCCTCCTAAACCCTGGCCCCTGTGCAAGACGAGTCTCCTCCCTCTCAGCGCCGCTCCTTTCTCTTGCTTCCCCCGCCCGGAACCTCCCCGTTTCGCCACCGCCGTATCCTCCCCTCCCTCCCTTAAACCCCAAACGCCGACGCTGCTGCGCAATCCCCTGCTCCTCTAAAACCCTGCGCCTCTCCGCTGCTCCCTCCGCCTCCTCCAGCTCCCCCCAGCCATCCCCCCCGCCAGCGCTTCCCCTCATCCTCCCCCTACCCGGCCCCGCATTTTCCCCGTCTCTCCCGCTCCTTCCCCCGCCCCTCCCCTGCACCCCCCCACGGCCCCCCTGCAGCCGCCTTCCGCCAGATCCTCCCCCCTCCCCTCCTTGCGAGCCCCCGCGCGGCCCAGCGGATCCACTCGACCAATCAGAATCGTTTATCCAGCTCTCATCCGGCTGGTCTCTCTTCCCGAACCGCGCGCCAGGCGGCAACGCCACGTCGCTGGCAAAGAAATCCTCGCTATAGTCATCTTCGTAATCCTCAGAACGACGAGGGCGCGAGTCGTCCCACTGGTCATTCCTGTCGTATTCGCCGTCGCTGCCGCCCCGTGGACCCGCCGCAGCCGCGGCAACAACTGGGGTAGGTGCAGCTGCTGCACGTGCCGCCCGGAGCGGCCGGGAATCTAGCGCCAACCGCGGCAGCAGGTTTAAATGCACGGGAACATTGGGATGACCGGGATGAGAAAAGCGTCCGCGTGGGATGAGAGAATGGCGCAGGATCAGGTGGGACTGCTGTTGGAATGCGCGGAGAAATGCGCTGGAGGATCTTGACTTGGATGTTACCGAATGTGACAGAAACGGGGCTTGACGGAGCTGCGGCGAGCCGTCAAGTGACAGGAAAGCGGCCGTCGCGCTTGCGGCCGACATGGCGCTTCACACACGTGCGTTGTGAATGGCGGTGTGATGCGAGACAATTGCACAGCTGCTGGCTGCAGCTCACAAGAAAATGCAAGGGAAATGGGTAAAGGAAAAACCTGTCATCCTCGTTTGTGAAAACTCAGCCCCATTTCGGTACACCGCAATTTGTGCACTCCTCGAAGTCACAAATTGCATCGAGATTTTCGATTTCCTCGATTTTTTCGCCGTCACACATGAATGACTTAGGGCGTGTCCCATGAGTTCGTTTTGGGGAAAATTCATTTTTTTACGTAAACTGCGAGTCAGCAAAAGAGTGTACACTCTGACGGGAAAAAAACGGAATGTGTCAGCATCGAGCAAAACGGAATTGCACCAGGCGGACGCATAGTCCCGCCCACAAAAAAAACGTCATGCGATTCACAATTGACAGAATCCGCGAGCGGTAACCCGCCCCAGTTGCGAATCGAATGCCCCTCGGTACTGGGGCGCGACTCGGTACCCCTGGCGACGTTCGTTTTTTCCGCGAGACCATGGGTTGGGCGAATTCGGAGTTTACGGTAACTCCTCACGCGGACCCGTTCGAGGTGATCGCACGTACGTAGGTTCTCTTTCTAAACGCGTTCAAAACGAACACGTCGACGTGGGAAATGCGTCAATTGTCATGCGTCATTTAAGGTACATGTATACAGTAGAGGGTTACAATCGCAAAATAGGGTAACAAACATGAACATGAACTGTAAACGAACTCGTGGGACACGCCCTTAGGCCTCGTGCTAGCCAGCGACGAGGAGGCAAGGTGGATTTCGTTCGCATCCACGATGGCGTGAGTCGGGACTAGCGCGCTGCTCGTGCTGATGGTGACGTGACGACCTACGGAATATGAGGAGGCAAACTCGTTATTGCGTCCAGACCAGTCTTGCGGCGCGCCCAAGTGTTTTTCTCGTCCTCTCCTCTTCGCTCCTCGCCACCAGGTTTCACTAACTTGCCGCGTCACTCACGCGTCGGCCCCATGCCGGCTTTCCTCCCGCCCCTCTTCTCCCGCCGCCCGGCACTCCAGCCGGCAGCATCTGCACCAATCGCTGCTCCCGGAACGTCCTTCCGCGTCTTCCAGCCAATCACATCAAGCCGAAGTGGCAGCGCTCCCGCAGCGCCAGCGCCCGCGGCCGGTACGCAGCCACGTGGTCCGGGGGCTGTCCACGTGGCACGGGTCGCGCTGCTGGTCGCCGTCGCTGCTGCGCTCATCGCGTGCGACGTGTGGGGGCTGCACCCGTGGAACAGGGGCGTCGCACACGTCGCACACGTCGCACAGGTCGCACAGGAGGCTCGGAATGGGCAGGGGGTGTCGCAGGCGAGCCATCTAGGGGCGGGAGAGGGCGGGAAAACCGGTGATACCAGTAACGATGATGACAGTAACGTTGGTGATAGTAGGGGGGCCAGCAGCAGCGGTGCAGTGGAGTACAGAGGGGCGCCGTGGAAGGCTGATATGGGGCGGTGGCTCCTGGCGTGTGGCGACCAGCTGCCGCCTGTGACTGTAGGCGAGGTGCGTGTATGCAGGATGGTTGGGAAGATGATGGGTGGAGGGACAGGAGAGCGCGGAGGATAGATGGGAAGGGGCTTGAAGGGAAAGGAAAGGGGCGAAAAGAAGTTGACTCGAATCGTCTGTGTGCCCAAGAAGGGCCTCCCTCAAAGAGTTCAGCAATAGCACCTCTCAGCCCTTCCCAGCCGCTTCCAGCCCCTCCCAACCTCTCTCGATCGCACCCTCTCCATCGGGTTGACCCCATGGTTGTGTCCTCCAGGCGCTCTGCTCCCAGGCGTGTCCCGGCAACTGCAGTGGCAACGGCGTGTGCAACCACGAGCTGGGGGAGTGCAGGTGCCGACACGGGTTCTCAGGTGAATCCTCAGGTGTAGTGCATTGCATACACTGATTCTCAGGAGGTTATTACGTGTTGAAATTGTTCACAGGGTGAAAGAGTCCCAACTGTTCCCAGTTCATAGGGTGGCGTGGCGTCCATCTGCCTGCCTCCCTCCCTCCCACTGGTCCCGTTTTTTTAGAATTCTCAAAAAACAGTTTCAGCATAGAGTGGCGTCCATCTGCCTGCCTCCCTCCCACTTCATAGAGTGGCGTCCTACTGGTCCCCCTGCTCCTACCTGTCACGCCACACTCCCTTCTGCCTCTCCCAATGCATCCACTGCAGGCCCTGACTGCTCCCAGCTGCACCTGCACCAGTGCAACCTGCCGGCGTCACCCGAGTGGCCCGTGGGTACCTGGGTGGCGTCCATCTGCCCGGCCCACTGCGACACCACCACCGCCCTCTGCTTCTGTGGGAATGGGACGAGGTTCCCCCATCGCCCAATTACCCACCCCTGTGGGTTTGTGTACAGGTGCGTGGTGGTAAGAGGAGAGGGGACAAAGACTCAGTGAACCCATGAGTCTGTAGCTGACTGGGTAGCGTCCATCTGCCCCGCCCACTGCGACACCGCCACCGCCCTCTGCTTCTGTGGGAATGGCACACGATTCCCCCACCGCCCCATCACCCACCCCTGTGGGTTCGTGTACAGGTAGGGCCTGGGTCATTGATGCATGGGTGCACGGGTGCATGGGTGCATGGGTGCATGGGTGCACGGGTGCATGGGTGCATGGGTGCATGGGTGCATGGGTGCATGGGTGCATGGGTGCACGGGTGCATGGGTGCAGTGCACGCGTGGCAATGAGTCTGTAGCTGCCTGGGTAACATGCGTCTTCCCGGCTCACTGCCACACTGGTCATTGCAATGGCAGCTCTGGCCTGTCCGTGCTACTGCCTACCACTGCACCTGCGTTACCCTCCTCTCCTCCCCCTCTCCCCTCCCCATCCCCCCAGGAACCACGACTTTGTGTACAGCGAGGTGGACACAGATATGCTGTTCCACGCTCACACCGGCTACTGCAACGCCAGCTCTGTGACTGTCTGTGCCTCTCACCCACCACCCCACCCCATCCCCCCAGGAGCCACGACTTTGTGTACAGCGAGGTGGACACGGATCTTCTCTTCCACGCCCACACCGGCTACTGCAACGCCGACCCGCGAGTGGGCTTTCAGCGGGACTACACAGGGTGTGGCATGTGTGACACAACCCCAGCCAGTCTGTGCCCCTCACCTGCCTTCCTTCGCTCTCCTCTCTCTCCTCTCTCCATCCCCCCAGGAGCCACGACTTTGTGTATAGCGAGGTGGACACGGACCTGCTCTTCCACGCCCACACCGGCTACTGCAACGCCGATCCCCGAGTGGGCTTCCAGCGGGACTACACAGGGTGTGGCATGTGTGACACAACCCCAGCCAGTCTGTGCCCCTCACCTGCCTTCCTTCTCTCTCCTCTCTCCTCTCTCCCCTCTCTCCATCCCCCCAGAAACCACGACTTTGTGTACAGCGAGGTGGACACGGACCTGCTCTTCCACGCCCACACCGGCTACTGCAACGCGGATCCCCGTGTGGGCTTTCAGCGCGACTACACGGGGTGTGGCATGTGCGATGTGGACGGGTACTTAGGGCCCTTCTGTGACGTGCGTGTGGAGTCGTTCTGCCTCAACCAGTGCTCTCTGCACGGCACGTGCCACAGAGGGTACTGTGAGGTGAGTGGGTGACCGGTGACCCGCGAGTGGGCTTCCAGCGGGACTACACGGGGTGTGGCATGTGCGACGTGGACGGGTACTTAGGGCCCTTCTGTGACGTGCGCGTGGAGTCATACTGTGTCAACCAGTGTTCTCTGCATGGGTCGTGCCACAGAGGGTACTGTGAGGTGAGTGGTTGGGCAGAAGGGCGTGGGTGACCTGGGCGTTTGAGTCGACTCAAATGTTATCTCGTCCTGTCCACCCCCTTCCAGTGTTCAGACGGATTCTTTTGCATCTACTGCAGTGTGCCGTCCGCTCGACTTTTGAGTCGACTCAAATGTCATCTCATCCCATCCACTCCTCACCACTCCCCCCCACTCCTCTCTCCAGTGTTCGCACGGTTTCTTCGGCATCGACTGCAGTGTGCCGTCCGCCTCTCTCCTGGACTCTCTACTCTGCCCCGATTCACTTGTTTACATTCTCTGTCCCATCCCACACTCCTCCCTCCAGTGTTCGCACGGTTTCTTCGGCATCGACTGCAGTGTGCCGTCCGCCTTCACGCCTCGTGCACTCTTCACGCACCCATCTGAATCGCTCCAGCTGGATTCGCCGCCCGCTGACGTGGCATCAACGGCTGTCGACGCACCGTTGGCCAGCAAGGATGGGGGAAGAGGCAGCAGAAGCAGTGTTGGGGACATTGATGGCTCCGTTTCCACGCCTGGTAGTGCTGCAGGCAACACCCCTCCTGGGGATGTGCCGAGCCGCCGAGTGCTGCATGGTGCAGGCGGGGAGGAGACGCACCACAGACTACTGGCCCGTCTTGGTGCTGCTGCTGAGGGTTCTGCTGCTGAGGCTTTTGCTGCTGCCGCTGCCACTGCTGCTGCTACTGCAGGCGCCAAGTCAGGGTGGCAGACGAGAGTGGTGAACCTGGCAGCACAGCAGCAGGTGAAGCCATTCGTGAGGCGGCAGTGGGAGCAGCGGCGGGGCAAGGCGGCAGTGGGCAGCAGCAGCAGGCGGTGGGTGCGGCGGCGGCGACCGCTGATCTACATCTATGATTTGCCCGGGGAGTTCACGTTTCACCACATGGAGGCGAGGAAGATCCGTGCCTACTGCACCACTCGGCTGTATGGCATGCGCAATGAGACGCTGTACAACCACTTCCAGCTGTACGGCATGGAGGTGAGCGCATGGTGGGAGGTGACGAGGTGACTTTTGAGTCGACTCAAAAGTCACCTCGCATGGTGGGAGGTGAGGGAGCTGCGAGTTCCATGGTACCAGGGTCATAGTGAGAGGGCTGATCTACATATATGACCTGCCGGGCGAGTTTACTTTTCACCACATGGAGGCGAGGAAGATCCGTGCGTACTGCACCACGCGGCTGTATGGCATGAGGAACGAGACCCTGTACAACCACTTGCAGCTGTATGGCATGGAGGTGAGCAGTGGGCACATCTGTGCAGGCATGGGCATTCATTGGCATGCCCTAGCCACCACCACTGGCAGCTGTCTGGCATGCGCAATGAGACGCTGTACAACCACTTCCAGCTGTACGGCATGGAGGTGAGCACACGTTCAGACTTAGTTTGCCCTAGGCACCACTCGCAGCTGTACGGAACTCTGGGATTGAGACGCTGTACAACCACTTCCACTTCCACTCTTTCTGGGTCTTGGGCCCCCTCCCCTTTCCCCACTCCCCTCCCCTCCCATCAGCCAGGTGGCAGTGTTAGAGTCGCTGCTAGCCAGTCCCCACCGCACCATCAATGCATCAGCAGCCGACTATTTCTTTGTGCCCGTTTTGGGTGCGTGCATCACTGCGCGCGCTGACGACTCGCCTGCCACTTCTATGCAGGTGCGTGGTTGTGCTGTTGTTGTGAGAGGTCTAGTATGGCGTGTACACTAGTGTTGTGGTGTATGTATGTGTCTCTGTAGTGTGCCTTGGAATTGCATGGGATGCCCGTGCATCACTGCCCGGGCTGACGACTACACCCCCACCTCTTCCTCTCACAGGGCAGGTTCAAGAACCGGCGGGCGTACTTTGCAGCGGACCACTACCAGCGAGCGCTGGAGCACATCCGATCCGGCTACCCCTTCTGGAACAGCACACAAGGCCGCGACCACATCTGGGTGAGCCTTGAGGCGGCTGAAAGCATGTGGGTGTGACATAACCTGTCCTTGCAAGTGTAGGCAGGCCTCTGCAGCCCACCTGTCCGCTATTGACAGCTCCTTGCAAGTGGAGGTATTTTCTCAGTGACTCACGTGTCATCCTGCCCACCCTTCTTTCTCAGCCGCATTCCCTTCACATGCTTCCTCTGTAATGTCTCTCATTCCTGCTGCAGCAGATTTTCCTTGCAGGGGACGAAGGCGTATGCAGCGCATCCAAGGATCTGTTCAACAGCAACACCACGGCCGCACACAACCACTCCACCACCACCTACCTCATCCTCTGTTGCCTCCTCTGTCACTCCTGCTGCGGACCTTCTCCTGGTATGAAGGTGCCTGCATCTCATCTCCCCCAGGGACATGTTCAAGGGCATCATGCTGTCACTCTGGGGCAACACCATGGCCATGCACAACCACTGCTTCCCATCTCCCTTCCTCTACCTGTCATACCTGCAGACCTCCCTCCGGGATGAGGGGGTATGCAGCGCACCCAAGGATGTCATCAAGGGCATCATGCTGTCGCACTGAGACAACACCATGGCCGCCCACAACCACTCCATTGCCCACCTCTTCTGCTCCCTCGATCACCTTTATCATCCCTTGCTGCAGACCTTCCCCTGGGACGAGGGAGCATGCAGCGCCCCGGGGGACGTCTTTAAGGGCATTATTCTATCGTACTGGGGCAACACCATGGCCGCCCACAACCACCACCACCCACTTCCCTCGCTCACTGTTTCCCCCTGTATCACCTCTCTCACCTCTATCTGTCATCCCTGTCCTGCCTGCAGACCTTTCCCTGGGACGAGGGTGCCTGCAGTGCCCCTAAAGACGTCTTTAACGGCATCATGCTGTCGCAATGGGGCAAAACCATGGCTGCCCACAACCATTGTTTTCCATCTCCCTCTCTCTATCTGCCATGCTTACAGACCTTCCCCTGGGACGAAGGTGCCTGCAGCGCCCCTAGGGACGTCTTTAACGGCATAATGTTGTCGCACTGGGGAAACACAATGGCCGCCCACAACCAATCCACTACCGCATGTCTCACTCTATGTTGCCTCCTCTGTCCTGCCTGCAGACCTTTCCCTGGGACGAGGGTGCCTGCAGTGCCCCTAAAGACGTCTTTAACGGCATCATGCTGTCGCACTGGGGCAACACCATGGCCGCCCACAACCACTCCACCACCGCCTCAAGTAGGGAATGGGGGGGAGAGACAAGCAGAAACAGGGAGGCGTATGTGACACTATGATGGTCCCTTTTTGCTCTTCGTTTCTGCTTCACTGCTTTTGGTTCTTTTCCTTTCCATCTTCTCGTTCCTTTTCTTTCCTCCCTGGTTGACTATCCATAGGTGTATCTTTCCCCCTCATGGTCTTCGCTGCCAATTCTTCTTGCTGCTCCCTATGCTCCCCCCTGCCCCATGGCAGTCCAGTGGAGCAATGGAAGCGTTTGTTCTTCTTTGGAGGCAACTTGGGGCTCAACTTCTCCCACGGCCGCCCCGAGGCCAAGTAGGTTGGTGCACTGCACGTACGCGTAGGCCAAGTACGCATGGTCGCATCGCTCGCACAGAGCTGCAATAGTCGCACTTCCTAGGGCCCCACTTGCTTGAGGACAGCCAGAGAAAGGCAGAGGGAAGCAAGTGATACTCTCCGTGTCGTTGAAGGCTTCTCATCACCCACCCTCTCCCCCTTCCCCTTTCCTCCCGTCCTCCTTCGTCCCCAACACTCACGGCAGCTACAGCATGGGCATCCGGCAGCGAGTGGCGCTTTACTTTGCATCGCAGCCCAACCGGCATGGACACGTGGGCCTGCTGTCTCGCCCTGACGTGCTCGTGCTGCCAGGGCCTGTCCCAGACTATGCACTGCAGGTGGGGGGCAGCGGGGGCGGAGAGGGCAGAAGTGGTCTTTGAATGTGAGCAGTAGTTGGGAGGCAGAGGGTCGTCGTGTGGCACTGCCCCCCACATGCTCGTGCTGCTAGGGCCCGTCCCAGACTAGGGGGACTGAGAGCAGAGGCGGCAGAAGGGGGAGAGGGACCAGAGGGGGCGAGTATTGCACCATTGCATCCACCCATCTCCACCCCTGTCTCACCCTCCACCCCCTTTCGCCCGTTCTCGCTCCCATTTCTTTCCGCCCCTTCTCACCCTCCCTGTCTCCCTCTCCCACGTCCCCTCATTTCCCTCCTCCTCCTTGGTGCAGCTATCACAGGCGCGATTCTGCGGGGTGTTTCCGGGCGATGGTTTCAGTGCCCGCATGGAGGACAAAACGCAGTTCCACTCTCTCTCCTCCTGCCCAGTCTCCCCACTCCCCCTCCCCACTCCCCCTCCCCACTCCCCCTCCCCACTCCCCCTCCCCACTGTGCATGCTTCCACAGCTCGCATCATCGCGCTTCTGCGGGGTGTTCCCGGGGGATGGCTTCAGTGCGCGCATGGAGGACAGTCTGCTGCATGGATGCATCCCCTGTATCATCCAGGTGCCCTGCCCTGCCCTGCCCTGCTACCTCAACCCTGCTTATATGTGTATATGAAAGCTCATATGTTCATAACGTACATATGTATCTGGAAATGCGTTTGCCAGCCCTTGCTCCAAAGGGAACTCTTTTCCGCTTTGGCTGAAGAAGGGTTTCAACTCCATCTCTTGCTCCTCCTCCTGCTATGGATGCGGCATTCTGATGGCATGACATGGTTTGGCATGGCATGGCATGGCATGGCATGGCAGGATGGCATAGAGCTGCCATTTGAGAATTTCTTGGACTACCCATCATTCGCAGTGCGAATAGCAGAAGCCGACATCCCCAACCTCGTCACCGTTCTCAACTCCTTCTCATCCCGCCAAGTGCGGGCCATGCAGCGGGCGGCGAGCCTTGTCTGGATGCGGTGGTTCTACCGGTCGGCAGTGTTGCTGGAGGCCGGGCGGCAGAGAGTGCAGGGGAAGGACGTGGGGGAGTGGGTGGCGGATTTGGAGGGCATGGAGGGGGATGATGCGGTCGACACACTACTGCAGGTATTGTTACGGCTTATGATTTTCATTGAAATGGTTGTGCAGCGCAGCTTGATATATGCTAATTGATTATCGCTCATTTGTTAGCATATGATGTGGACGTGCAAATGAGCTCTTTTTTTATGTATATCCACTGCTTATGTGTTTTTGTGTGCAGATATTGCATGTGAAGCTGTGTCGTGATCCATGGAGGCTGCAGCACAAACACAACCACACAGCTACGCACCCTAGTTTTGTACCTGCTTGCAATACTACAACTAAGTGAAAACAGTGTATGGGTGTACCTAGAGATATGGGTGTGAACATTTTTTGCAAAGAGGCTATTTCAGTAACCTTGCAGCACGGCGAATTGTGGTCACCTTATACATTTTTCGCGAAAGCTCGTTTTATCGTGCGGCCTTGCTCAGTGCATGCGCTATCCAGTTCAAACACTCATGTTGGATTGGATGTTTGCCTGATAAGTGGACGTTTAGGGCGCGGCGAGCTGCTGCACGAATGTCAGCGCGGCGCCTGGTTTGACGGCGTGACTCAATCGAGATTCGAGAAGCTTATGGCCACGTCTCTGCGGCTCGATTCACCCACAGGGCCCGCCATAACCCTTCTTCGTCCTGATTGCTCTGATTCCCGCGATTCCCGCCGCCAAGAGCGTCCTCTAACGACAATGTCCACAATAGGTAACAGCGCACTAGCAGCAAGTTCGTTTCTCTGCGCGCCACGTGGTCGTGCGATCACGTGTCAGCGACGATCGCGGCCACGTGTTCCGTTGATCTCCTCCTTCGTTCCTCGCCTCTCCCCTGGTTTCACTGGCTCACCTCGCCTTCTCCGGGTTTCCCGGCAGTTAGGATCCCCTTGCCGCGCCGCGAATACCGGCGGCAGAAGCGGCGAGGATCGCGGAGATGCGCCTAGCGACGCCAAAAATAATGCGGGTTCAGGAGCCGGAGGGAGCTTCTTAAAAGCGAAGTCGCTGGATGGGGTAGTGGAGGATATTAAGGAGGAGTTTAGGACGGACGTCCGCGACGCGCAAATTCTGCTTGCAGCGATCCGGGCAGCTGTGATCGGGGCAGTAGAAAACATCTTCGGGTCTGCCCGCGAGCAAGCAGCAGCAGTGAAGCGGCGCGGCCTGCCAAAGCTGCTGGCTGCGAAGCGATGGCACCAAGTGGACCAATGGAAGGTGAGTGACGTGGCGGGGAACGCTCTGGGGGATCAGCATAAGACCACGGAAGGCGGAAGGCTCAAGGGAACAGCAATGTTACTACTAGGGAATCAGGGTTCAGGGTTTTCCCGCTCCACATTGCTTTACAGCGATTCCCGTGAAGCCCAAATTCCATTTCCCCCCTCCTCCATCCCCCCACCTCCCCTCCACCTCCCCTCCACCTCCCCTTCACCTCCCTTCCCCCTCCCCTCCAGACCATATCCGTGATGAGTCAATTTGCAAACGTTTAGGTCTGGGAGGGGAGGGGGGGGGAGGAGATCTTGGAGGTCACATTTTGATGATTCTCCCCTCCTCCTTCACTCAACCTCCAAGACCTTCCCCCGAACCCCCCTCCCCACCCCCTTCCCTCCTCCTTCCCGCTTCCTTTTGACCCCCCACTCCCACTCTCGCTCCCTGTCTTTCCCCCTACCTCCTCTCGCCCGTGCGCGCAATAGCCATGCCACAGCACCCCCAGTCGGGGGCGGCAGCTCCAGCCGAGGTGACTTATGATTCGACCCAAAAGTCCCCCCCTTTTTCTCTCCCCGGCCAAACTGGCCATGCCACAGAACCTCCACTCATGGACGGCGCTGCGGTGGGTTTTAGCGGCACTCTACCTCGCCGCTACAGCCCTGGTGCCAATTTCTTTTAAACTTTCCTCCACTCTTTTCCTCTCTACCCCGGCCAAACAAGCCATGCTACAGAACTTTTGAGACGTCTCAAAAAACTTCCCTCCACTCTTTTCCTCTCTACCCCGGCCAAACTGGCCATGCTACAGAACCTCCAGTCATGGACGGCGCTGCGGTGGGTTGTAGCCGCGCTCTACCTCACTGCTACAGCCAATCTGACTCATGATTCCCCCCCTCCCACTCTTTCCTTTCCCCCCCGGTCATGCTACAGCAACCCCAGTCGTGGACGGTGCTACGGTGGGTTGTAGCGGCGCTCTACCTCGCCGCTACAGCCGTCTTCTGCCAGGCGGCGGGCCGCACTGTAGCTGCCAGGCTGGCGAGCCGGCCGGCCACGGTGGAGCAGTTTTTGGAGTTTGCCATTCCAGAACCCACCCCAGAGAACGTCCGCCTGTGAGTCACACGGGGGAGGGGAGGAGGGAGGGAGCACGGGCATGGGCAGGGGGAAAAGGAGAGGAGGATGGGGCAGGGATTCGTATAGGGAAGGATTGGTGGAGCAGTTTTTGGAGTTTGCCATTCCAGAGCCCACCCCAGAGAACGTCCGCCGGTGAGTCACACGGGGGAGGGAGGGTGAACGGAACACGGGGCACAAGGGAGGAAGGTGGGGGAGGGGGGAGAGGTGGGGAGGGGGTGAAGAGCGGTAGGGAGAAGCGGACATATGAAACGTGCGCGAGCAGCGGTGGGGGGTGCAGACCCCGCCAGGAAAATCGGTGGTGAAGTGGAGGATGGACCGTGACAGGCGGTGGATGGGTGTGTCTTCTCTCCTCAACCGCCCCGCCTGCTCCCCCCTCACGTTTCCCCTCCTCCTACGCCTCCCCCTCCCTCCCTCGCATGCTGCTCTGATGCCTCTCAGTGTGCGGGAGCAGCGGTGGCGTGCACAGGCACCACCAGGGCTGTCAGTGGTGAAGTGGAGGATGGACCGAGACGGGCGGTGGGAGAAGGACCCTTCCTTTGTGGGCGAAACCGCGTGGCAGGATCAAGGCTCTTTGGACCGATCCACGGCCACTGGGCTGCTGACACGTGGCAGTGAGGATGCTGGTGCCACGAGCAGCAGTGCCACAACTACTGCTGCTGTTTCTGCTGGTGCGGCTGCCAGCAGCAGCAAGGGCGGGTGGAGGGAGCGGTTGCAGCGGTGGGAGGAGGCAGTGGTGGAGGGCGATATCAAGGACCTCTTTGAACAGCCCTCCAGCCGGTGAGACCAATATTTACTTCAACAGGTCGCTGCCTTGTTAGCAAGCAGTGGGGGCATCCATGCCGGGGAGCTTGTGGGTGAGCAAGCAGTGGTGGAGGGCGATATCAAGGACCTCTTTGAAGAGCCCTCCAGCCGGTGAGTGAGCGCACTGCTTCATTCTACAGGGCTTCAACAGCGCACCTCTCTGTGAGGGTTTTTTGAGAATTCTCAAAGAACTGCTTGATTGATATGGCTTATTGAATATGTTTTTTTAGAATTCTCAAAAAACATATTCAGCACTTGTTTGTGGGGCACAACTGTGTGATTGATTTGGCCTATTGTATTTGGTTTGAGCATACATGACCGGGAGCTGTGGTGGGGGCTGGCATGAAGGACCTGTTTGAAAAACCCACCAGCCGGTGAGAGTTCCTCTGGGGGAGGGCTGATTGACCGATTGATTGAACCCACACCCCCTCCCCTCCCCCTCCTCCCAGCTACGAGAACGTGTACGACTGGGATCTGATCTGATTCAGGTCAGGCGCAGCAGGAGGAGGAGATGGGTCAAGGGCGCCTGTAAGTGCAACTTCTTTCTTTCCCCCTGCCCTCCCCCTCCTCCTCCCAGCTACGAGTACGTGTATGACTGGGACCTCATTCAAGCGCAGCAGGAGGAGGAGATGGCGAGGCGGGCTCGGGGGGGGGGCGACGCGGACAGCCCAGCAGTGTGGCTGCAGCGGCGGTGGTGGAAGCACCGACCGGGCATGCCGTACGTGTGGCTGCTGCACAAGATACAGACCAACGAGGTGGACGCTGCTGTGTTCTCTGCTGACATGCGCCGCCTCTATGTCACCATGAAGGACGGGTTTCCCGCTGAGTTCAAGGTGAGGGATGGGGGAGGGATGGGGGAGGCGTGGAGGAGGGGTGGAGGAGGGGTGGGGGAGCAGTAGGGGAGGGGTAGGAAAAGGGTAGAGGAGAGGTAGAGGAGGGGTTGAGGAGGGATAGGGGAGAGGCTTTCGCAACAACCTTCTGGCCCCTTGTGGTCCACGCCCCTGTCTCTGGGCATACCTGTACCCCCCTCGACCCAGACCCAAGTCACTTGCGCGTTACTTCTGAATCATTATGTGTGCACTGCACCCCGGCAACACCAGGTGGACATCCCAATCGACCCCTTCCTCTACCCCTCGCTGCTGCTCAAGGGGGTCAACGTGGACATGCTGCCGCCTTGTGTACTCATATGCAGCCCCTCAACCCAAGCCTCTCACCCGCTGCTTCTGAATCCTTATTTGTGCACGCTCTCTCCCACTGCAACAGGTGGATATCCCAATCGACCCCTTCCTCTACCCCTCGCTGCTGCTCAAGGGAGTCAACGTGGACATGCTGCCGCGCTCGCGCCTCTTCTTCCTGCGCGGGGTGGCGGCGCTGCTGCCCTCGCTACTACTGCTGGGCGGCATTGGGGCGGCGCAGACCGTCTTCAAGCGTCGTGTGGACGAGAAGATCCATGATTACATCTACATGGATAGGTCGCAGCTGCTACTGGTAGGTCTCATCTGGCATAGTGCTTAGCTTATCGTTTAAAATAACCAAATTTACTGAGCTTGCAGCAATCTACACGATTTTTCATTAGAGGACATATTCCCGCTCATCACCGCCTCATCACCGCCTCATCACTGCAAACTTCATCCCGTGTGGACCACTCGTCCTCCTCTTCCTCATCGTCCCAGCTTGTCCTTCCTATTCCTTCCCGCTCCCTCCCTTTCGCCCTACCCTCTTCCCGCCCTTCCCCAGCCCGAGGACGTGCACAGGGAGGGCCAGCGCAGTGCATATGACGATGTGGTGATGGCGGATGACATATGGGAGGTGCTGGAGGAGGTCATGGCGTACATGCGCGACCCCATGCTTTTCCACTCGCAGGGCATCAAGCTGCCTAGAGTAAGTGCACCTTGTGAGTTGAGTCCCCTTGTGGCCAGCGAGTCCGCTTGTGGGGTGAGGGGTGCGTGGGGCAGCGGAGGGCAGTGGCAGATGGGATGACATATGGGAGGTGCTGGAGGAGGTCATGACGTACATGCGCGACCCCATGGCCTTCCATGACCAGGGCATTAAGCTGCCGCGAGTGAGTTGCTTCCCTTGTGTGTGGGGCAGCGAGTGGGGCATGAGATGTGGAGGGGCGATGATAATAGATGGGGCGAATGGGAGGTGCCTGACAAGGGGATTACCCACGACTTTTTAGGCGCCTCAAAAGGCCTACGACGTACCACTCGCAAGGCAGCAAGCTGTGTAGAGTGAATGGGTGGGGACAGCTGCACAGGGTAAGCGCCGGCATAAGGCACACTCCCTTCCCAACACCCCACCCCTTTAACCGCGTTTTTATCTCCTTTCCCCACCGCACCCCACACCTCTCCCCTCAGGGCATTCTGATCAGCGGCCCACCGGGCACGGGCAAGACACTGCTGGCGCGGTCCATTGCACGCGAGTGTGGGCTGCCGTTTGTGTTCACATCTGGGGCGGAGTTTGTGGATTCCACGTCCGAGTCGGGGCTGGATAAGGTGTTCAACATCTTCTTCACTGCGCGCGCTAATGTGAGTCTGAAAGGGGGGGCGGGAGGAAAGGGGGGGGGTGGGAAGAAGAGGAGACAGGGTCACAGGGATGGATGGAGCAAATGAAGGGCTGAGAGTGGGGGCTGAGTTTGTAGATTCCACGTCGGAGAGTGGGCTGGACAAGGTGTTCAACATCTTCTTCACTGCTCGGGCTAATGAGAGTCGAGGGAAATGGGGGAAGAGGGGGAAAGTGGAAAGTGAGTGCAGAAATGCAGGGTGGTGGGCTGCCTGCTGATTGATAGAAAGGAGAGGTTGGAGTGTGTGCTTCCGCCTCCATCCTGCCTATTTTCAACATTTATTTTCACCATTGCCTCCACTGCTTGTGGCCATGTGATTTTGAGAATTCTCAAAAGTGACTCAGATAAGAGTTGGATGGCGTGTGACTTATGAAGCACACTGTGAGATCATCATCTCCTCCGCACACGTCTCCACCCCTTTCCTCCCTCCCCTCCCTCCCCTCCCTCCCTTCCCTCCGCTCCCTTTTCCCCTCGCCAGGCGCCAGCATTCCTATTCGTGGACGAGATCGACGCCCTGGCGGGCAAGAGTGTGCTCAAAGACCCCGAGAGGCGCGACGTGTATGAGGAGTTCCTCGCAGAGCTGGACGGCGAGTGAGTGGGCTTGGGGGGAGGGAGATTGAGTGTGCTTTGTTTCTTGCTAACAGCTTCTTCCAGACTGCTGCTCAGCTAGGGTACATGGCATGGCATGGGTCGACGTGTATGAGCAGTTTCTGGCCGAGCTGGACGGCGAGTGAGTGAGGGGTGGGGGGGAGAGAGATGGGTGCAGGGCGAGACTGACTGTGGGTTGCTTTTGCTAACGCACTAACAGTTTCTTTCAGATTGCTGCTCGTGTAGACCACATGCCTGAGGTTGTATGAGGAGTTTCTGGCCGAGTTGGACTGCGAGTGAGTGGCGGGTGGGGGGAAGGGAGGCAGGTGCAGGGCGAGGGATGAGGATAGCAGGATACGGAATGGACGGCTGCAAAGGCTCATTCGAGAATGCTGTGCCAACGTCCAAATTCGCACAAATATGACAATCCACCCACCAATCCATCCACACCCATCCATCTGCACCCACACCACCCCACCAGGGAGGAGCACACAGACGTGGACCGCTTCTTGCTGCGGCAATCAGTGATCCTCATCGCGCCAACCAACCGCCCCGACCAGCTGGACGAGGGGCTCACCAAGGCAGGGCGCATCGATCGCACCCAGCTCCCTCACCCTTCCATCCACATGCATACAACCACACCCTCCCCCCCCATTCAACCAGGGAGGAGCACACAGACGTGGACCGCTTCTTGCTGCGGCAATCAGTGATCCTCATCGCGCCAACCAACCGCCCCGACCAGCTGGACGAGGGGCTCACCAAGGCGGGGCGCATCGATCGCACCCAGCTCCCTCACCCTTCCATCCACATGCATACAACCACACCCTCCCCCCCCATTCAACCAGGGAGGAGCACACAGACGTGGACCGCTTCTCGCTGCGGCAATCTGTGATTCTGATCGCCGCAACCAATCGACCGGACGAGTTGGACGAGGGTCTGACCAAGGCGGGGCGCATCGACCGTGAGATCCACGTGGGGCTGCCCAGCGAGGAGCAGCGCATCGCCATCTTTGGGGTTCACTCCAGGAACCGCTTGCTCGCTCCGTCAGTTGACTTCTCCAAGGTGGGTTTGCTTTGGGAGGGAAGCTAGCTGCGGGATTCCGTCGCTCCCTTCACGTGCCGAGGAGCAGCAGATCGCCGTCTTTGGTGTGTACTCCCGCAACCGCCTGCTGGCGCCGTCGGTTGACTTCTCCAAGGTGGGTTTGCTTTGGGAGGGAAGCTAGTGTAACTGTGGGATGACATTGCTCCCTTCACCTGGCGGGGCGCATGCATTGGCCGTGAGATCCACGTGGGGCTTCCGAGTGAGGAGCAGCGCATTGATGGCAATGTGGACTCTTCCAAGGTGAGCGTGCTTTAGGAAAAAGGGCTACAGATACCCTGGGATGCCATTTCCACCTTCAGCTTTCCAGCGAGGCGCAGCGCATCGCCATTTTTTCTGTGCAGCGTACATGCTGCACACACAAGTTGGCCCAAACCACAACCCACCCCTTTCTCCACACCCCCATCCCTAACTTGTGCCTCAGGTGGCTTTCCGCACGATAGGCTTCTGAGGTGCAAATATCCGCGATCTGGTGAACGAGGCGGGCATCATGGCGGTGCGGCGTGGGCACGCGGCTTGGTGTTGCTCATTGTGTGCCAGATTTGCCACAAACCGTCCCTTTCCCCACACCCGCTTCCTTCACCCCTTGTGTCAGGTGGCTTTCCGCATGATAGGCTTCTCAGGTGCAGATATCCGCAACTTGGTGAACGAGGAGGGCATCATGGCCGTGAGGCGAGGGCACACGGTGATCGAGCAGACCCAAACCACAACCCACCCCTCTCCCTCACCCCTACCACCAGGTGGCCTTCCGCACAATCGGGTTCTCAGGTGCGGATATCCGCAATCTGGTGAACGAGGCGGGCATCATGGCCGTGAGGCGACACCAAGTAGGCCGAAACCACAACCCACCCCTCTCGAAACCCCTACCTGTCAGGTTGCCTTCCGCACGATAGGCTTCTCAGGCGCGGACATTCGCAATCTGGTGAACGAGGCGGGCATCATGGCAGTGCGGCGAGGGCACACGGTGATCGAGCAGGGTGACGTGGTGGCAGCGCTGGACAAGCAGCTGTTTGAGAGCCTCGGGATCTCCATGACCGATGATGAGCAGCAGAGGCTGTTCGCTAAGGTGGGTGAATGAGTGACTGTGTGTGTGGTGGTTGAGTGTGTGAGTGCATGAGTGTTTGAGTGTGTGCATGGCAGCACTGGACAAGCAGCTGTTCGAGAGCCTCGGGATCTCCATGACCGATGACGAGCGAGCAGCAACGGCTATTTGCCGATGTGGGTGTGTGCGCATGAGTGGCTTGCCTCGCATGTGTGCTTGTGGGTTTGTGTCAGTGAATGTGTTGGTGTGTATAAGCAAGTGTGAGTGTAGGTGCGCATGTGCCCACACACATCCATCGCTTCCCTCCAATCCATTGCATCACGTTCCATGCCCATGCCAACACCATCCTTCTTCCATCACCACTACATCCCATTGTCTGCCTGTTATACCGCAGGTCCCAGCGGAGGTGAGGAGGGTGCTGGCAGTGCACGAGGCGGGCCACGTGCTGCTCTCACACCTCTTCCCCTCCTTTTGAGTCGACTCAAATGTCCCAACATTGCATTGCCCACCTGTTTCCCTGCCTTGCCCTGCCTGCCTTACAGGTCCCAGCGGAGGTGAGGAGGGTGCTGGCAGTGCACGAGGCGGGCCACGTGCTGCTCTCACACCTCTTCCCCTCCTTTTGAGTCGACTCAAATGTCCCAACATTGCATTGCCCACCTGTTTCCCTGCCTTGCCCTGCCTGCCTTACAGGTCCCAGCGGAGGTGAGGAGGGTGCTGGCAGTGCACGAGGCGGGCCACGTGCTGCTCTCACACCTCTTCCCCTCCTTTTGAGTCGACTCAAATGTCCCAACATTGCATTGCCCACCTGTTTCCCTGCCTTGCCCTGCCTGCCTTACAGGTCCCAGCGGAGGTGAGGAGGGTGCTGGCAGTGCACGAGGCGGGCCACGTGCTGCTCTCACACCTCTTCCCCTCCTTTTGAGTCGACTCAAATGTCCCAACATTGCATTGCCCACCTGTTTCCCTGCCTTGCCCTGCCTGCCTTACAGGTCCCAGCGGAGGTGAGGAGGGTGCTGGCAGTGCACGAGGCGGGCCACGTGCTGCTCTCACACCTCTTCCCCGCCTTCGACTGGCACGCCTTCACGCACATCCTCCCCGGCGGCCAGGTAATTGGCCAGCCGCTCAGGTGCTTCATCCCTCACCCACGTGGAAGCACAGCACAGGTGCGTTGGTGGTATCTCAGGTGGTCAATTGCAGACCCTGGTGCTGAGTTTAGCGCGTATCCCCTCAAATAGACACTGGCTGCTTGTCCTTCTTTCTGACCCCCCAGTTCACCTCCTGCTTGCATTGCCAGCACCGGGTGCTGCCGAGTTTCTGCTCTTGATATGTCTCATAAGTTATTGCGGCTCACTTGCTCTCCATCCAACCTGGCCTGCTGCCCTCCCTTCCAACTCACCACCTTTCCAAATCCGCTTCCCGCCCTCGCCCTTGTCACTCCCAGGAGCGGGCACTGTCGGTGTTCTATCCGCGACAGGAGATGCTACTCAAGGGCAGCACGAGTGTGGGGTACCTGCACATGCAGATGGTGGTGGCGCATGGCGGCATGTGTGCCGAGCGCCTTGTGTTTGGCGACGACCATGTCACGGACAACGGCCAGGACGATCTCATGAAGCTCTCCCAGGTGAGTTCTGAGTGGCGTTCTAAGTGAGATAGGCTACTCCCAGTGAGTTTTGAGATGTCTCAGCGCCTGGCGGCATGTGTGCCGAGCGCCTCGTGTTTGGCGACGACCATGTCACGGACAACGGCCAGGATGACCTTATGAAGCTCTCGCAGGTGAGACATTCTGCTCAGAGTGAGAAACGCTACTCCCAGTGGAATTTTTTTAAACGTCTCAAAAGATGGTGATGGCGCCTGGCGGCATGTGTGCCGAGCGCCTCGTGTTTGGCGACGACCGTGTCACGGACAACGGCCAGGACGACCTCATGAAGCTCTCGCAGGTGAGAGAAGTCAGAATACGTCAGTTTTATTCCGGCTAGTGTGCGTGTCTTTAATCCCTTTGCGTTTGGTGACGATCACGTCACTGACAACGGCCAGGATGACCTCATGAAGCTCTCTCAGGTTAGACACGCTCTTTTCAGTGAGAAACGCAGATCTGAGAGTGACACGCGGCTCTGAGTGTTAATGAGTCTTGATATGGCCTCTTTTCCAGTTAATCTCTTTGTATACCTTCCTATCCTCGTGACCACATTGCCAACAACGGCAAAGACAATCCCATGAAGCTCTCCCAAGTGAGACATGCTGTTCAAAGTGAGAAGCGCAATTTGAGCAAGAGTAGGCTGTTTGTGTTTCGATCCTTCCTACTTTCCAACCCCTCCACACCACAATGCTCCCTTCTTGTCCTCTCTTCTCCCCTTCCATGCACCCCACCAGATCGCACGGGAGATAGCAAGCAGCCATGCGAATCCACGGTTTGGTCTGCTGCCCATCACCATGCACCCCATCATGGAGCCGCCAGGCTTCCCTGATGAAGTCGAGCTCATCCCCTCCTCCGTACGCTCAGGGCTTAGGCGAGGGTTCAGGGTTTAGCCTCTGGGTCAGGGCTTGGAATGTGGTCTAGGGTTCGGGGTCTTGGGGTAGCTCCGCGGTTTGGTCTGATGCCCATCACCATGCACGCCATCATGGAGCCGCCAGGCTTTCCCGATGAAGTCGAGCTCATCCCCTCCTCCGTACGTGCAGGGCTTAGGGATTCAGGGGGTTCAGGGCTCAACCTCTGGTTCAGGGTCGGATAGGGTTCAGGGTTTTGGGGTAGCTCGTACCTTGTTCCATCCTCATATGGTTTGGGCTGATGCCCATCACCATGCACCCCATCATGGAGCCGCCAGGCTTCCCCGATGAAGTCGAGCTCATCCCCTCCTCCGTACGTTCAGGGCTTAGGGATTCAGGGGGTTGAGGTTTTGGGGTTTATGGTAGCACATAGCTCGCCTCCTCCGTACGTGTCCTCATAGAGCACTGAAACGTCTTGAAAAGTTCCCTATACGGTTTGCTGACAGAGTCCCTAATGGTATTGAATCTGATGCATGGCAGTCACTCCTTCCTTGGACCGTGTGCCCATCTCCGTGCCCATCACCTTGCCCATCCCCATACCGCTCACGTCAAGTGTACTCCCAACCATTCCTGTTCTGCCTTCCGCCCTCCCTGCCCTGCCCTGCCCTGCCCTGCCCTGCTCCGCCCTCTCTTGTCCTCCCACCGCCAGTGGACGCGGCCGGGCACGCAGGTGGCATCCATGTCAGTGGAAATGTCTGAGATCTTCACGCGGGAAGTCACGTGGGTGAGTTGGAGGGCACGTGGGTGAGTGGGAAGTCACTTGGGTGAGTGGGAATTCACTTGGGTGAGTGGGAGTCTATTTCCGAGGCGCCTCAAGAATGCACGCAGGTGGCATCCATGTCAGTGGAAATGTCTGAGATCTTCACGCGGGAAGTCACGTGGGTGAGTTGGAGGGCACGTGGGTGAGTGGGAAGTCACTTGGGTGAGTGGGAATTCACGTGGGTGAGTGGGAGGCCACGTGGATGAGTGGGAAGTCACTTGGGTGAGTGGGAATTCACGTGGGTGAGTGGGAGGCCACGTGGATGAGTGGGAAGTCACTTGGGTGAGTGGGAATTCACGTGGGTGAGTGGGAAGTCACTTGGGTGAGTGGGAGTCTATTTCTGAGGCGCCTCAAGAATGTACGCAGGTGGCATCCATGTCAGTGGAAATGTCTGAGATCTTCACACGGGAAGTCACGTGGGTGAGTTGTAGCAATCGATTTGGACGCTATTGGGAGGGATCCCTTAACCACTTGCTGTCAATCTCTTCAACCACTTGCTTTGTAACAGTTACAGTCCCGCATCCCCCTCTCCTCTCCTGCTCGCTCGTCTCTATGTTCTCCTCCTAGATTGTTCTCCTCCTCTCCTTCTCTGCTGTGTTATCCTCCTCTCCTCTTCTCCTCTTCACCTGTTCTCCTACTCTCCACCACTCATCTCCCTCATCTTCCCTTGCCCCATCCTCCCGCATCCTCCCATTGACTCTGCATGTATCCACCATCCACCATCCATTATCCATCATCCATGCACCCATCAGAACATAGAGCTGACGGAGCGCATGGCAATGGATGCATTGAGGCGCAACAGGGCCGTTCTGGATAGAATCACGGACCACCTCGTGGAGCACTTCCGCATCTCCGGCCTCGTGAGTGCCTCCTCCTCCTCCTGCTGCTGCTGCTGCTGCTACTGAGCTGGGGACTGCGGGTTGATGGGCTGTCCTGGGCCTAGGAGCTTTGTGGGCTGAGGTGCAACCAGGCCTTTCTGAATCGCCTCACGAACCACCTCTTGTATCAGCGTGAGGGAGTCAAACATTGTTAGGGTGTTATCCAATCAAACAGCACTAGGGTCCTCCTTTAACGCGTGTCTTCATTGCCTTTCCGTCCACCCAACCTCTCCCCACTGATTGTGTCCAATCCCTCATGAGCAGGAGGCGGGCGAGATAGTGCACTCCATGCACCCACACATGCTGCCAGAGACTTTGTTCTGCATGTGCACCTGTTCAGCGCATGTCTCCATTGCCTTCACATCTGCCTCCCCGTTGTCCCTGTGCAATCCCACACCCACAGGAGGCGGGGGAGATTGTGCACTCTATGCAGCCGCAAATGCTGCCCGACTTGCTCGAGCCAGAGACAGAGGCAGAGGCAGCACAGGAGGATGCTGCAACTGCCACGCCTCCTGACTGGAACCCGGAGCAGCCAGGGCGGTACCAGTACCTGGACATCTACCCTGCCCCCCTGCACCGCTGCTGATGCACACTCACATGAGAGCTCAGGCAAGGCTGATCAAGACTACTGTATGCCAGTTTCAAGACTCGTCAATACTGTTTTCTAGACTGCTTCAGGACGGTAGCTGAAGTCTCACCCCCCTCCTCTGATGCGGTCGGCATATGTGCATCAAGTCCGCTCCACAGCCTCTCACCACGCGGAAGTACACTCCAAGTGTTCCTTTTGTACTTACCAGTACAACATACTGGTAGTACGTTTTGCAATGAGATGTTTTCACAAGTTTTGCTGCCTAGGTAAATGTAACCTGCTGTCCCTGGAAACTATTATGGCAGTGCTCGCCTTGTGTGTTCACTTTCGGTGCAAACCAGGTTGCTGTGCACTCCCACGTGCTGTTTCCGAGGGTGTGTATGTTACCGTACCAGTATTGTGGTGAATGGTAGGGTACCTGTAGATGTTTGACTGTGCTTTCAGCATTGCTAGAGTTATCGCACAGCATTAAATGTCAGCACACAACAGGAGGAGATGGTACTAATGTTTTATAACGGGTGGTTGTGGTTTCAGAGTCCTTTAGCAATGCATGCCAGAAATCTCATAGCACATGACCTACACTAATGTCAGGCATCTACACCAAGCTTTCTCTTCACTTGTCTTCCTTAGGCTTCTCTTCCGAATCCTGTAGCACGAGAGCAGGGTACCAACCACCAACGTGCACAGGGCAGAATCAGTACAGAATGCATGCAGGGCATGCATAATCACACAGAAAGCCTGGGCGAGCAAGTGCTGAGCAGTGCAGTGGGAGGGGTGCAGGGTGAAGAGCGAAGGGCAACGGGCAAAGGGCAAAGCGAGCAGACCTTGGGGGGCTGGGAGGGGGCGAGTGAGGCGAGCACGTCCCGCACAGAGGGGTCATTGGGATCTACCCCTGGCAGCTGCATGGGGGGGAACCATGAGATGGCAGGGACACATGGGTACAGCAGGTGAGAGAGCATGGGACGAGGGGTGAGAGCAAGGGATGAGGGCACGGGCATGGAATGGGGGAGACGCAAGCAATTGGGTGAAACCGTGGGGGGGAGGAAAAGTAGATGTCAGTATCTTCAGCAAAGTTATGTGATGTGAGGGATAGTTAATAAGTAATGTGAGGGATGATTCATTTTGCAATGCGCAAGAGAGCAAGGGTATGTGATGACAGCATACCGAAGAAAGGATGGAGTTGACAAAGGAAGCATCGCCCAACACTTGACTCATGTCCACATCTCCAGGCGCCGCCGCCGCCGCCGCTGCTGCTGCAGGTGCTTCACCTGCCGCCCCTGCTGCTGCTGCTGCAGCCTCCTTCTTGCCCTCCTCCGCTGCCTCCTGCATCGACAGCTGCAGGGCTGGTGGTGAGAAGGGCCAAGGGGGAGATTAAGTTAAAACAAGAAAAAAGCAGCAATTCTTACTGCTGAAAAAGAAACAGAAAATACGAAGAAAACAAAGGGAGGGGAGGGGGGGGGGGGGTTGTGGGGAGAAGGGGAGAGGGGGGGGGTTTGGGCAAAGTCCATTGTGAAACAAATCTAGTGTTTATTGAGCGTGGAAGAGGAGCAAACGAGGCAGACAACAAGTGCAAACGAATGGAAAGCTGGATCTTGAGGGCCACTAAGAGGCACCTCAGAAAGCCAGGAGCACACAAAGCGGACCACTCACCGAGTGCCAGCTCAGCATCCTCCCCTCCAGCAGCGGCATCCAGCATGGCAGCATCTCCCGCCCCTCCTGCCGCCCCTGCTGCCATTGACATTGCCAGTGCCTGCTGCAGCAGCGCTGTTTCCTCGTCCTGGTGTGTGCGAGAAGACAGGGAGAAGAACAGGGGGAACAGGGCGGAAGAATGAACAAGGCGGATACACGGGGCGAACAGGGCAGATGAAGAGGGAGTGAAAGATAAGCGAGTGATGCAGATCAGTACTTGCTGCCAACCAAGTCCCACCCCACATTCCATCATGCCACCACTCACCATAGCAACATCACCAGCAGCAGGAGCAGCAGTGGCCCGCCCCTCCTCCGCCTTCTTCTCCCCCTCCCCCATCGCCACATCCCCCTTCGCCCCCTCTCCCGACGCCCCACCCTCCCCTCCACTCCCCCCAGCACCCTCAGCACCCTCAGCACCAGCAGCACCAGTCTGTTGCTCAGCAGCTGCCTTCCTAGCAGCAGCCTCCTGGCGGGCTCTCTCCTCCTCCATGGACACGCGCAGGGCCAGGGCGAGCTCAGGGTCAACGCTGGGGTCAACGCCAAAGTCAAAGTCGCCCCCCAGTCCCCCGCCCCCTGCTGCCGCCGCCGCTGCTGCCCCTGCCGCTGCTGCTGCTGCGAAACCACTGCCGCCCTCCCCGTCTCCTGTGAACACGGGAGAACTGCGCGGGGGGAGGGGGGGTGGGTGTGTGAGTGATGCAGGAATGGGAGGTGGGGAGAAGAAGGGGGAAAGGGAGAAGCACGTGGTTAACGGCAGGTCAGTAGTCACCCGAGGCTCACCGACGAGCAGTGACACGGGAATTGCCTAACACACGGGGACACACCTAGCAAGCACTGATATAGCGTCAGCGACCCACCAACGCACAACAGCCCACCTGAGGAGCAGGCCAGAGAGCACAGCAGGGCCGGGTGGAGCGTGCAGGAGGAGGTGCGAGTTGTGGCTGCTGTTGACGGCGCCCAGCAGCGCCTCCAGCTTGTTCAGACATCTCAACAACCAACCACCCACCTGATGAGGACTCACACTCACATGGAACGGCACACACACTCACCTGATGAGCACGTCTGAGAGCACGGCAGGGCCGGGCGGCACGTGCAGGAGGTGCGAGTTGTCGTTGCTGTTGACGGCGCCCAGCAGCGCCTCCAGCTTGGCCTGCTTCTCCTCGTCCTCGCCGTCCCACCCGAAGCTCACCACGTCCAAGGCCACGTTGTTCTTCTTCAGCCGCTTGCCCGCCTTCACTAATGTCTCAATGTCAGCCGCTACAGGGCTGAGATCACAGGGGGGGTGGAAGAGAGCAGGAGTAGGGTGCGTTGGGGGTGGAGGGGCGTGAATCTGGGACTCGGATGAAGCTCACCACGTCCAGCGCCACGTTGTTCTTCTTCAGCCTCTTCCCCGCCTTCACCAGCGTCTCTACGTCTGCATCCACGGGGTTGACAGCATGGGGGCAGTAGGGTGGGGAAGAGGGTTGGGGGAGGGTTGGGACCGCAGGAGTTGGTGATGGGCGGGACAACGTGGTCACCAGGTCGCTCATGGTTCTGTTGCGACAGGAGGCTACCAGTGGACTAACACGCAATTCAGGATGCAACACACCTGCCAATGAAGTGCACAATGGGCTGGCAGGCAGTGGTTCTTCTTCTGCCGGTGCTTCAGCCAACTGTTAGTGCTCTCTCCTCCAACACACCCACTAGCTTACAACGCACCTGCCAATAAAGAGCACGATGCGTTGGCGCTGGTTCTTGTTCTGCCGGTGCTTCAACGCCAGCTGAGCCACCTGCAGCCCTGACAGCAAATTCGTGTCTCCCCCCACCTCCAGACCTGGAGCATCACCGTCACAGAATGCACGGGGGAAAAGAAAAGGGGTGAGGTGGGGACAAAATGAGTACATCTTACCAGCGTCTCACCAACTGTGCCCGACGCACCATGCATAGAGGAAATTACTTGTTCGTCCATTTATAAAGGAATGAGAGGCGCACCGTGCATGGTGGAGAGGAATGAGAGGCGCACCGTGCATGGTGGAGAGGAATGAGAGGCGCACCGTGCATGGTGGAGAGGATCTTGCCGAGGTCGGCGGTGGGGGTGACGAGCACGCGCACGCCCTTGCCCCCCATCGTCAGAATGCCCACCGTGTTCTCGGGGTTCGACTGCCATCCATGCGTCGGCGGGACAGGGGGAGTGGAGGAGTGGGGGTGGAGGAGTGTGGTGGGTAAGACGGGCGGGTTTTGAGGCGCCTAAGGCATGCCCACTGCGTTCTCTTATGACATGAAACTCAGCTCTCATGACATGAAACTCAGCTCTCATGACATGAAACTCAGCTCTCATGACATGAAACTCAGCTCTCATGAAATGAAACTCAGCTCTCATGACATGAAACTCAGCTCTCATGACATGAAACTCAGCTCTCATGAAATGAAACTCAGCTCTCATGACATGAAACTCTGCTCTCATGTCGCACACGCGCAAATGCTTCCTCAGATTGTACATCTGCATCTTTTGAAACGTCTCACAAGTCATTGCTCAATCAATCACGAAGCTTCCCCACGTCGATCGCTCACCTGCGTCTCGGTGCGTCACTCACCTGCGTCTTGGCGCCACAGATGAGATTAATCGCGTCCGCCTGCGCCTGGAAGCGCGACGGCGCGTAGTCGCCATTCCGCATCCACTCGGAGTTGTCCACGCACACCACCGTCGCCTGGGGAATGCCGGAGAGAGATTCGGGGTGGCGGGGAAGAGATTGGAAAAGGCATCGCCAGAAGTGACCAGCTCGTAAGCATGGATTTTCGGGATTGCCGAGCCAAACATGCATCCACTCCGAGTTGTCCGAGCACACCGCCGTGCCTGTTGTGGGGGGAGGGGAAGGGGGGAAACGGAGAGACGGGCGAGATTGAAAAGGCATCGCCAGAAGTGAGCATCACGTCAGCATGGATCCTCGGGATTGCCGAGCCAATCGCATCTACGCGGAGTTGTGGACACGAGTCATCGTGGAGATAATGGCCGAAGCCTATACCGCGTATGATGCGTCGAACGAGTCTAACGAGTTTTAAGATTCTCTTCATAACGCGAGTGTACAAACGTCTCCCAGACGTCAGATCGCGTTTCGGAACTCCGTTGCAAGGTTTCACTTCGATCGCCAGAGCGAGAACGGACCGTCAGGAAGAACAAGTTTCGTTTGCAACGGAACTGGAATATAGTTAATCTATTACGAGCATACCTCGAGAACCATGGCTGCTACGCGTCGATTGCGGGAAGCGGGGAGGATGCTAGCCAGATATGGTAGACGCAGCGGGTAGAGGTTGCACGACGTACACGACTAGTCGGCTTGGTACTACCTTTCCACTACCTAGCACAGTGACAGATCCGTATGCTGGAATTCTATCAGATTGGTATCCCATATGCCGCGGCAACGGAAATGCTACAAGGAGGTGAAAACGGCGGGGAATTGTCAGAGCTTTACCTCGTTATAAGCAGCTGAACATTGCGAAACTCCTGAGCCAGGCTTGCACTTGTCGAGTTCAGCAAAGCTGGAGTGTTTGTGAATTCAGTGCATACTATCAACCAAATAAATACATGCATTTTTTTTTTCTCACCCACAATGCCAAGGTCCGTAATCTGAGTGTACAGCTGAGCACGTATCTACAAAAAGGCGTGGAGAGGACCTTGGGCCCTACACACCCCTCATGCAGCCCACCCCTCATACCTCCTAGCATCATCCTCCCTACAGCAACTCATATCATGTCATGTGTGTTCATAGAGCCTGCCAGGCCCCGGATAGCACAGCACTGCTATCGCAAGCTAGCCATGTAGCAAAGGCATCCTATGCTCACAGTGCCGGTGGTGACCTCAGCAACAGTGATTAAAACCACAATAGATAGAAGCAGGTCGACACTCACGCCAGGTATCAACCTGTCATCTGTCGTCCCTCCACGTGTCAGCGTGTCAGCTGTCCATGTGTCATCTTGCCAAACCTCCAGGTGTAAAGCCTCTCAGAGTTAAAAGGAGTCAGCATCTCATCTCTTAGGCCACATGGTAACCCCATTGCCCTCTATACTCTCCCCTCTCTCCCCCCAAACCCTCTTTCCCAAGCCTCCAACACCCTCCCCCACAACAGCAGCAGCAGCAGAAGAGGGGGCAGCAGCAAGGAAGGCAGCAGCAGGCACGCCACCAGACGAATCAGGACCGTTGATATCAGCAACAGCTGCACCATAGCTCATATCCGCCACTGCTGCACTGTAACTGCTCTCAGGAGGGTTCCTGAGCAGCAGGGAGAGGCAGGCGCTGCTGCAGCGCGGTGGGAGTAGCAAGAGGAGTGGGCGCAGCGGGAGGGGGAGGAGTGGGAGGGAGGGCGGGCTGGCGGACGAATTGGCCTCTGAAGCGCGGCCGCTGCTCTGCCAGTCGCTTGCGACTCTGGTACCGCACCTGCACATGGTGACGCAAGCAAGCACGGAAAGGGGGAAGGGCGGGGACCGAGAGGGTGGAGTGGAGTAAGCAGGGGGTGGGCAACGGGGGCAAAAGAGAGGGTGCAGCAGAAAGAGAAGGAGGTGGGAGGGGAACATGGGCATGAGCAGCAGAAGGTACACCATGAGGGTAATCGGTGGCACCATTGGAAGTAAAAGGAGGAAAGACAGGGAGTATGGTGGTGGAGTGGGACAAGCAGAGGGCGAGTGCCACCAGGAGTTGCAAGGAACGTGGACGCACCTTCTTTTCAAAGTTCCTCTCTTTGCGCTTCAGCCGGAACTTATTGAGAGCCGCCTCCCGCACCGCCTGCCGACTCATCACCCCTCCGCTGCCCTCTGCCCCCTCTGCACCTCCTGCTTCCTCTACACCGTATGCACCTTCCGCCCTACGCACTGATTGCTCCCCTCCCCCATCTGCCCCTTCAGCTACGTCTCCCACCAGGCTTGCAACAGCAGCGGCAGCAGCAGGTGCGGGAGGTGCAGGGGAAGGCATAGCGGGTGCAGCGAGAGAGGCGGATAGCGACAGCAGCCCTGCTGCTCCCTCTTCCTGTCCCGCCTCCTCCCTCCCGGCTACCCCATGCTCCTCGCCACCATCCTCCACTTCCTTCTCATCCTCTGTCTCCTCCCCATCCTCCTCCTGCTGCATCTCCTGAGGACCGCCTCTCATGTGCACATCCGCACCCTCACACCTCTCCTCCTCCTCCTCTTCCACTTGACCGTGCTGCTCCTGTTGCTGCTCCTGCTGCTGCGCCTGTATCCGCTCTGCCTCGCCTGCTGCCCCTATCCCCTCAGTGAGCCACTCGTGCCTCTTGCTGCTCTTGCCTCCCGACTCCCTTCCAACCATCACTGCCATGTCCTCACCCCCTGCCTCCTCCTCTCTGCCTCGTTTCCGCCCCACCACACCCGCGGCACCACCCACATCACCCACACCACCCGCACACGCAGCGCAACTTTCCTCTCGCCCAACACTGCCCTCCGCCCCCTCTGCCTCGCCACCGCTGCCCTCGCCTCTCAAATCCCTCGCGGCCACATCTAAAGCCTCTGTTGCTTCCGACGCACTCCCCCTCCCCCTCTCCCTCATCCCTTCCAAGCCCCCTTGTGCCTCATTGTTAGCACCAGATCCTGCAGCGGCGGTGGCAGTGGTGGGAATAATACCATCTCTGTTCCTCTCTCCACCATCCCTGTCCCCCTCTCCGCCATCTCCGCCCATGGCATTCCCCTCCCGCCTCACTGACTGTCCCCCTGACTGCCTCCTCCCCTCATCCGCCCCCCCGCCTCCCATCCCCATTGCCTGCCCCCCTGTTCCCCCGTCCCCTCCGCTTCCCTCCCCCCCACTCCCCTCTCCCCCATCACTTCCTCTTCCCGAGCCCCCTCCTCCCCCACTCCCTCCCCCATCCCCACCACTGCCTTCCCCACCCCTGCCCCCCGTTCCGCCTTCTCCCCCACTTCCCATCCCTTCAATCCCATTCCCCGCGCCAGTACCTCCCTCCCCTCCGCTCCCCCCTCCGCCGTTACCCCGTCGGGGGGACTGGAAGCGTCCGCCCGCGCCTGTCATGCCCGCAGTGTCATGCGCCTGGTCCTTAGACCCCACCGCACTGCCATTGGCGCAAGACAACAGCGCCTGTATCCCCCGCCCGCCCCCCGCGCCTCCCCCCGTTCTGCTCCACTCATGCGCCCCATTCGCGCTTGCAGCCCCGCGTTTACTCCCCCCACTGCCCCCGCTGCCCCCGCTTCCCCTCCCGCCTCCGCTGCCTCCGCCACCCCCCTGTCCGCTCCCCCCTCCGCCCGACCCTTGCCCACTGCCACTCCGCCCGCCGCTCCCTGCGCGAGCGCTGCCCGCCATGTCTCTCCCCGTGTCCCCACTCTCATTATACTCCGAGCTTCCATTCCCATCCCCGTTGCCGTCCCCCCCGCTGCTGCTGCTGTTGATAACTCCTTCCCGCGCGTTCCTTCCCCCTCCGCCACCGCCGCCGCAGCCACCACCGCCGCCGCCGCCACCCCCGCCCTTCGCGTACACGTTGCTGCTCCCATCGTTCCCAACCTCGCCTCGAGGCACGGCAGCCGCAGCTGCGGCCGAGGCTCGGTGGTGCCCCGAAAGAGCTACCGGACCTGCGCCCGCTGCTGCTGCTGCGCCTGCCACCCCTGCAGCAGCAGCAACGTTGTGAGGGTTGGAACCACCCCCCTCCGGACTCCCACTAGCGTTCGCATTCGCCTTCGCATCCTCTGCAGCAGCTGCTGCTGCCGCATCAGCACCAGCAGCAGCAGCGGCGGCGGCGGCAGCAGCGGCGCCAGGTTAGCAGGAGACATGACACTGACACTATGCTGCTGCTGTAAGGACGGGTGGGAGTGCCCGCGATGGTGGTGGCGGTGGTGGTGGTGGTGGTGCCGCTGCTCCCTGTGGAGGTGGCGATGATGCTGCTGTCGCTGCCCTTGCTGTCCCTGCTGCACCTGTTCCTGCTGCAGTGCCTTAGACTCTTCCACCCAGTGCAGAGCTTCTGTCGATGAGACACGCACCTTGCCATGGCTCTCCTGCTGCTGTGCTCTCTGCACCGCTTTCCCCGGCTGCCCGGGACCTCTGGGCGACGCAGGAGTCATGCTCTCCGGACAGGCCATCTCCGCCCCTCCTACCTTCCCCTCATTCTTCCCCTTCCCTCCTTCTCGCCTCTCCTCCTTCCCCTCAGCCCCCGCTACACCATCCAAGTCCATTCTCGCTTCTCCCTGCTCCCTTCCTCCTCCCGCCCCTTCATCCTCATCGTCTCTTCTCCCTTCTCTCCTTGCTTCCTTGGGTCTCAGACCCGGGGAGGAACCGGCGACAGGGAGGGGCGGGGGGGGCGGCAGCAGGTGTTTCGCCAGGTGGTGGTGGGTCTGCTGCCGCCGCCTCGGCTGCTGTGCTGGCGGAAGCGGTGGGGAATCTCCAGCAGTCTCTCTTGCTGCTGCTGCAGCCGCTGCGGCGCTTGCTACCGCCGCATTTGTTGCTCCGGCGTTTGCTGCATCGGCGGTTGCTGTTGGAGGGGTTACGGCACGGATGGGTGGTGATTGGTCTTCTCGTTGCAGCTGCTGCTCTTGCTTTTGCTGCTCCGTTCGCTCCTGCCGTTGCTCTTCGCCCTTCTCTTGCTTCTGCTCCTGTTGCTGCTGTTGCTGCTGCCGTTGCTCTTGCTGCAGATGTTCTGCCCCTGATTTCAACTCATCTTCTTCCTGCCCTCGGGACAATAGTTGCGGCAAGGGCGGGGGGACGAGGGGCTGGAGCGCGGAGTGCGGGGGCGGGTGCGGGTGCGGATGGGCGAGCGCGTGGGGATGGGGACGAGGCAGGCCGAGCGGGGGGTTGCGGCTGTGGAGGGCAAAACGGGTGGCGCCGGGGAAAGGAGATGCTGGGAAGGAAGGTGCTTCTAGCAAGCGCGCCCGCCAATCAGGCGGTTGCTGCTGCGATTGCTGCTGTTGCTGTCGTTGCTGCGACAAAACTGGCACTGGTGGTGGCGGCGGGAATCGCATGGGAGGGTGGGGAGGCTGCAGCTGCATCTGCTGCTGCCCTCTAGCCTCTCCCTCTTGCTGCGCTTCTTGCATCTGCTGGTCATGCTGCTGTTCTTGCTGCAACAACTGCTGTTGCGTTTGGGTGGGCCGCTGAGCGCTTGGGGGCGGAGGGGGGCAAGTCCAAGGGGGAGGCACCCCTGCTGCCACTGCCGCAGCTGCCGCTGCCGCCGCTGCCGCAGCAGCAGCCGCATAGTAGAGCGGCGATTGCAGGTACATCCCAGATGCTGCTAGACTCGGGTCGAACGGGCGAGCGAACAACCCCGCAGCAGCCGCTGCTGCTGTGGCTGCCGCGGTGGCAGCAGCAGGCGGAGCAGGAGCAACAGCAGCCGGGGCGAAAGGAACGGTAGGGGCTCCAGGGGTGGGAACCGCAGGAGTAGCAGCAGCAGTAGGTGCCGAAGGGGCAGTGGGAAGAGCAGGGCCGGAAGCAGGGGCAACAGGAGCAGTAGGGGGAGCAGGGGCGGTGGGGGCGGTAGTAGGGGCAAGAGGGAGGCGAGTGACAGCAGAGGTGCTGCCATTGCGGTGGGTGTGACCTCCCCCGGTTATACCTCCCGTCACTGACGCTGTTGTTGCCTCGGTCAACTCCCCAGCACCAGACCGATCCGTCCTCCCGTTCCCCCCACTCCCGTTGCCCCCGCTCCCGTTCCCCCCACTCCCATTCCCCCCACTGCCATTCCCCCCTCCACCGCTTCCGTTGCCCCCACTGCCTCCCCCACCACTACCACCCTCCCCTCTGCTTCCTCCCCCACTTCCCCCTCCCCCGCTCCCTCCTCCCCCGCTTCCCCCACCCCCGCTTCCCCCTCCGCCGCTTCCCCCGCCCTCTCTCCCCCCGGGGCAACCCGAGGTGCTGAGCAGCAGCCCCCCACCCCGCGCATCCGCGGGGGAGTGCGAGAGCGCGCCAGGTGTGCCGCTAGCAGCAGGAGGCGCAGCGCAAACAGGGGCGGCGGGGAAAGCTGGGACTGACCCAGCCGCACCAGTGGCAGCAGCAGCAGCGGTTGCTGCAGTGGAAGGAGGCTCGACGCTTGCAGCGGCGGTGGCGGAAGGGACGGTGACAGTGCCAGTGGCAGTGCGAGCAGCAGCAGCAGCAGCAGCTGCGGCAGCAGACACGGCAGCAGAAGCGGTGGCGCCTGTAGCGCAGGTGGCAGCAGGGAGAGCGCCATTAACGCGAGCGGTAGTGACGCCGCTCACGCCGGCAAACGTTGCTCCTGACGCGCCAGCTCCCATGCTACCTTCTCCACCTCGCATCCCCACAGCAGACGCACCAGCAGCACCGGCAGCATCTGCGCCCGCGCACACGCAAGCAGCATCGCCTTTCCCCGCGGCAGCAGCAGTGGCGGCAGCAGCAGAGGCAGGTGGCGGCTTGCACAGCACCTGCTGCTTCTGCAACTGCTGCTGCGGTTGCCCCACCACCATATGACCCACGCGGACAGCAGCAGCAGCAGCGTCCATCGCACCTGGCATGAGGGGGAACGCGCGCACGTCTTTCTGAACGAGGCCTTCCGTCATGGCGTCACAAAAGCCAACGACCCTGCCTGCTTGCGCCCCTTTCCCCCCCCTGTGCGCCCCAGGCGCCCCGGCGTGCGCCACGTGCGCCGATTTCGCGCCCTTCCCACGCGCGCCAGCAGCTGCGCGCATGGGCGCCAGCGGCGAGCGCGCCGTGCGACGCTGTGAGCGCGGAGGAGACGTTGCCCGACGCCTCATGCTCGTGCTGCGCCGCCAGATGCTGCTGCGTGGCGGAACCGTGGCGGTCAGGGGGGTGGATGATAGGCGCGTGCGGGGCATGCGCGGATGGGACGGCGCTGCGTGCGCTTGCCAGGGCATGCGCGTGTAGCAACGGGTCGCACGGCGGTTGGTGCGCGAATGGGGGCGGCGGATGTGCGCCTGCGCGCTGTGCTGCTGCGCCCGTGGCGGCAGCTGCTGCGGCTGTGCCAGATGGCAGAGCAGCTGACGGTGGTCCAGGTGGCAGGCTGTGATTGGCTGCTGGAATGTTCGTCGGGCCGGCCGTGTGATAGCTGGAAAGGCGAGTGAGGGGAGAGAAACGGAGAGACGGGGGAAAGATGCTGAGGAATGGAGGGCAATGACAATGGAAGAGCGGAGAGGAAATGGTCCAAGCCAAACGCGCAGCGGTTGGGAACTAAAAGAGAGCACATAGGGGACGGGGAGGGGGACGAGAAGATAGGGGGAAGGTGCGTGGGGAAAGTAGTGGACGGGAGGGTGGAGGGGGACTGGGGGCCAGGTGCAAGGGGACGGGAAGGGGTGGCTTACCGTGAGAAGGCGGAGACTTTCAGAGGATGCAGTGGGTGATGCTCGCGCTGCTCTTGCTGCTGCCTTTGCTGCTGTCCGCCACCGCCCTTCTCCCCCTCGCCCCTCGCCATCTCCCGCTCCTTCCCAACCGCTCCAACACCTCCCCTCCGCCCCTCCTCTTCCCCCTCCACCTCCATGCCCTCATCCCACCCGCGCCTCTTCTCCTCCTCCTCCCTCCCCTCTCCGCCCTCTCTCACACCCCTCTCTTCCTCGTCCCCCTCCCCCATCTCCACGTCCTCCCCTGCCCGCCCTTCTTGCGCCGTCTCGAGAATCATCCGCCCCTCAACCACTCTCCTGCTCGGTCCGGTGCATGCGGCGCCATCTTTATCCGCGCCCCTCCGCGCCGCCCCGCCCCCTCCATCGTCCCGTATCTCCGCCTCCCCGGGCATTACCTTTTCCGCCACCCCCTTGCATCTCCCCCTCCCTCCCCCCACTCTGCCCCACCGCGCAGCACCGCTCCCAACGCCACCAAGCCTGTCGGCGCCTTGGTTCGGAACCCCTTCTGCAGCAGGTACGAGACCAGCCACAACCGCGCCCGTAGCAGCGGCGGCGGCAGCGGCGGCAGCGGCGTCCGGCGCGCCAGCTTTCCCCGCGAGCGTGAGCCCCCCCAGCAGCATGGCCTCCGCGGACGCCTCGCGCGTGGACTCGGCGGACGTGCCCTCGTTCTCGCGGTCCTCCTCCGCGCGCGGCGACGCGCCCTCGCTCTCGTTGCCGATCTGCAGCGCCGCCTCCTCCGACGCCAGCGTTGGCGCCGTCGTCACGCGCGCGCCCGACACCAGATGGTGCTCCGCGGCTGTAGCCGCCGCGCCTGTAGCGCCGGCTGTAGCGCCGGCTGCAGCGGCGGCTGTGGCAGCAGCAACAACGCCATCGGCAGCAGCGGCTGTAGCCGCCGCCAGCGCCGCCGCCGCCGCTTCAGCAGCGGAGCCACGTCCGCCATGAGTCGCTTGCCTCGCGTGCTCCAACCGCCGCTCCCTCTCCTTCTCCATCTCCCTCTCCTCCTCCTCCTCTTCCTCCCCGCCCCTCATGCGCCAACTCGTCGCGCCCCCAATCTCCGCCACGCCCCTCCTCTCCGCGTGCCTCCCGCCCTCCACTCCCCCGCGCGCATCCTCCTCCTGCGGCTGCGCCGACCTGAGCGGAGCTGTCAGCACGTGCCGGGACGCATCCGCACCTGCTCCCCCTCCCCCGCCCCCTCCGCCTCCTCCCCCCAACCCTCCCCCGCCTCCGCCTCCCCCGTCGTACACCAACTCGTCTGGCCTCTTAATAGTCGAACCTTCCCCTGACGCTTGCATGGCCGCCGCGCCTCCCATCGCCATCATGCCAAACGCGAAAGCCGCTCCCATAACCATGCCGCCACCGCCACCGCCGCCGCCCATTGCGACGCCAATAGCGCCGCCACCAGCAACCGCAACTCCTCCTGCGCCCCCCCTTCCTTCCCCTCCCCTTCCGCCCCCTCCTCCCCCTCCTCCGCCACCACCCGCAGCGGGAACAGCAGCAGTCGCAACAGCAGCGGCGGCAGCGACGGCGGCGGCGGCGGCGGTGTTGGCGGGTAAGGGGCCGGATCCGGCGGCAGCGCCGGCGGTAGTGTGGGGCAGAGCGGAATGCGAGCCAACCATGGTGCCGCCTGGTGCTGTTGCCGTGAGAGACGCGCGCGCAGGAGAAGAGGAGAGCAGATGAGTTTAGAAGGACGGCGCACACGAGTGCGAGCAGACGAAACGAGAGCGAGAAAAAAAGAGGAGGGGCCGAATGGGGTGGGGGGGTGCGGTGGAAGCGGTGGGGGGAGAAGTGAGGGAAGGGGGAAGGGGAGGGCAAGTATTGGTGGAAGAGGGCAGGCATAGGTACAAGCCAATGGTGCAGAAATGGCTGGAGTGGAAAAGAAAATGAACAGCCGAAAGCAGGTGAGAGAAAGTTAGCACGAGAGAGAAAGAGAGAGAGCAAGAGAGAGAGAAAGAGTTACCAGACTGTGCCATTACCTAGGTCGTTCCCTGTGCCGTCGCAGTTGCCCTCTCCCTCCGCCTGCCTCTCCCTCTCGCGCTCATTCTCCCTCTCCCTCTCCCTCTCCTGCTTCTCCCGCGCGTGTGCCTTGGTGGCATTGGCGTTGACCTGTTCCCCCCCCGCACCCCCACCCCCGACAATCAGGGTGCCCCAAGGGAGGGACACAGGCACACGCACAGCGCAGCAGAGAAGAGCAGATAGAGAGAATGCGGTGAGATGGCGATCCAACCGATAAAGGCATGAGGAGAAGGAGAGGGAGACGGAGAAGGAGAAGGAGACTGGCTGGAGACGACGCGGGCGAGGCTCTCCATGGCGCACTATCACTCCGCGAAAAGCGTGAGAAGCGGCGCCACAGGAGGGTGAGGCGCGCGGAGAGGAGACGGCGCAGGAGCGTGGGGAGCGGAGAGGAGGGCGGAAGACAAACCACCGCGCTTCTTCCCACCATCGCCCGAGCCTGAGCCCCCCTTCAAGGACGAACCCGACCCTGAGCCCGAGCCCGAGCCGAAGGCCGAGCCTGACGCCGAGCCTGACGCCGAGCCTGAAGCCCAGCCTGGATCCGGACGTGATTGAGCGCCAGCCTCGGGGCTTCTGGGTCGTTTACCAAGGGGGTCAATCCGCGGGGACCTCCGACCCAGGCTGCATGAAGAGCCGTGCGATGGGCACTGAGACCGGGGGCCGATGCTGCCGCGCACAGGTGAGCATGTGCGACTGCCGGCGTCCCTGCTATCATCCCTTCCAGCATCCCTCTCGGTATCACTCCCAGCATCGTTCCCAGCATCGTTCCCAGCAGCAGCACGGGGGCCGATACGAACCTGAGTGCCACTGCCGTTGTCGCTGCCGCCGTTCACGTTGAAGCTGCACCCCACTCCGTCGCCCTCGTACGCGCCCCGCTTCTCTCGTAACACCTTGCCGTTCGTGCCACTGCCGCTGCCACTGCCGCTGCCCGTAGACTGCCAAAAACAGAAGAAAAACAAAACCAAACAAAACAAAACAGAACGAAGGGAAGCAGGGTTTAGTATCCCCACAGAAGGCAACTTTGAGGTCATAACACGGTCGAAAAACGCCAAGTAAATTCGGAAGAAATTCAAGGGAGCCAGAGCAGCGCAGAGCAGCACGCGAGCGAGCAGAGTCAGAGCACAGAGCGGAGCAGCCTAGAGCAGCGGTGCAGAGACGCGGCGCAGGAGCAGAGGCGCGGAGCAGAGGCGCGGAGCAGGAGCGAGGAGCGGAGGCGCGGCGTACCGAGTGGCATCGGCGCCAGACGTGCTGCCAGAGGTTCTTGAGCTCGTTCTTGCGCACGGGCTTGACGAGGAAATCCGCAGCGCCCTTCTGAAAACACTTTAGAACCATCTCCATGCTGTCGTGCGACGACATCACTGCGAGGGGGAAGGGGGGGGGGAGGAGGAGGGGTTGGAAGGCGGATGCGGAGGGACGGCGGGAGGAGACTGTGAGAAGAGGACTTTTGAGCACTTTAGCACCATCTCCATGCTGTCGTGCGACGACATCACTTCAGCGCGCACGGGAAGGAGGAGGTTGGAGCGTAAGAAGCACGTGGTGTCAAATGCAGGACGGCAAGCGAAATCTGAAGCAGACAACAGCGCCGAAGCCGCAATTTCATCTGGAGCCGGTAAAGACGGCGTGAGGGGAAGGAGCGGTACGCACTGATGACGGGCATGCCGCGGAGAGCCTCGCGCGTCATGATGCGCGTGAGCAGCCCGATGCCCGACAGCCCCGGCATCACCACGTCCGTCAGCACCAGGTCGAACCGAGCTGCACCGCTCGCCGTCAGCAGCTCCCACGCGTGCACGCCGTTGGATGCTGGAGTGACTGTTGGGCACAGCGGGGGGCGGGGGAGAAAGGGGCGAGGGGGGAAGGAGGGGAGAGAGAGATGAGGGGAAGGGGGGAACACTAGCGGGTTACCGAGTACGAAATTTGGGGGGAGGGAAGGACAGGAATGGAGAGCAGCGAGGACCAAGGGACAACGGAAAGACGTCGCGGAAGTAGTAATTACACCACGGAATATATGCCGCTATTGTTGACGGCTGCTCGTGAAATAGCTAGAAAATAAAAGCCCTGAGTGCAACTGGGGAGGACGCTGGAATTGAAAGGAGGAAGCGCACGGTGCAGCTGGGAAAGAACGCCGGAAAGGTCGGAAAACGAACGAATGCAGCGAGTCCAAATCCCCGACAATACTCGTTCGTACGGCTGCGCGAAGATAAAGCCGACGAGGGAGCGCGCGTACTGGAAGCAATCGCATTTAGACTCGCATAGACAGAGATTACGCTAAAAGCCACGGTAATTTATGCTGCGCTGCACCGTAACAAATCTGGATGATACGTTGCCGTGCTAAGCCGCTAAAGAATTCCTCCGAGGCTTGAAAATGAAACGCCTTACGAAAAGTATAAAATAAAAAATACGGTCGATGATGCCGTATCGTTTCTAAACCTCTACACGCGCGTCCAAACCTTCTGGACCTCCTACGAACAGATCTGGACGGAGCTTCGCAAGAGCGACACACTACGGACCTTCTTAGGAACAGTTTCTCAGCAGCGCGCCGACGACGTGGCGGGTGGAGTCGTCATCTTCGACCAGCAAAACCCTCAAACTACCCTGCGGTAGGAACGCCTCCCACCCGGGCCCTCCCGCGGAGATGCCTCCGCCGTCATTGTTAATCGGCCCGTCGTGCAGCTCGAAATCGTCGCCCGTCTCCTCCCCGTCTTCGTCGTCTTCGTTCCGATTTCTATTGTCCTCGTTGTCGTCCGCTGCAGGCTCCTGAACCCTGCCGAATTCCGCCGCGACTCCCGGACAATCCATGTCCATATTCACTGCGACGTCTAATTGTTGCGGCTGTAATTGCTGTGGCTGCTGCGGCGGCTGCTGCTGCTCGGGCAGTATCTCCTGCACATGTTGTTCCTGAGGACTCTGAGGCTCATAATTTCGATCGTTCTCAAGAGTCGGTCCAGCGACGCCTAAGCCTTCGTTCGGTCCCCTCTTATTCTCAAGATCGATTTTCCTAAACTCTTGATGGATCCCATGGCTCCCACAGTGCTCTAATCGATCCGACGGTTGACAAGGCCAGTCATCATTTCCGTCCGCTGGCTCCAAACGTTCTCCAAATTCGCCAGCCATACCAAAACATGAAGCTATTAGCAATGTAACCAAGGGATTCTTATATTAGCGTAGTCTCCTAAAAAACGCGCATTAATCCTGCAAGCACGCAGAAACGACAGAAAATCCTGACGGGGCAGGGCGTAGAGAGGATTCAGATTAGCTATTCTTGGCTATTCCAGCCAAGGGATTACTGAAGTGCTGAACGCTAGGGCCACCTTGCTTGAGACCAGCTCCAGGAAATCTTTCTTGGAGCCACGAAACCCTCACCATCAGTTGCCGTGCTCCTATTGGCTGTACGCAGAACCAAACCCTAGCCGCAGGCCAAGCAGAACGAAGATGTGGATTGCAGATGCCTCCACATCTAGGCGGAAGGGTCTACGCGGAGAACAGCGCAGGCGGAACTTTCGCGAAACTGATCCCGCGCAAATCATTTTTTGCACGGGCATGGACGACCGAAAACTGCCAACGGAGCACTCTGTTCCGCCAACTGTTTTTGTGTCGCCTCGGCGCAACTCCGCCCGATTTCCTTCCCAATGGAAGCTACTGCTTTATCAGGGCATGGTCAGAATGACCGCTGAAACTGGAGATTCATGTAGCGATATGTTCAAACGATACCCAGGAGCCGTTCGATATGCTGAGGTGGACAAAAGGGAGCGAGCGGGTATCTGGCGTTGCTTCAACGCCTCTCGTTCCAGAATGTCATCCCGTGCCTGCGCGTGATAAAGCAATCTTTATCTCTTTCCCTAACCTCGTCTGGGGCAGGCACCATGACAATCTCTGCACACTGGACCCATTGCTTGATGATTGTTACCCGTATACCCTCTCCTTGGGCAGCTGGCAGTCACTTCCCGAGATCACTACATGATTTATAAGTCTTTTTCGGGTTTAGGTGCCAGTATCACGCAGTAAGTTTCACGGAGTGGGATCATGGATAACAGCTCCATTTTTGCCTAATGTGCTAAAAAGATCCGGAACAGCCAGTAGTGCTTTCAGTGTTCGGGCAGCAATAAGCCCTGTCCACAACCCACTAGTGGGTTGACGGTATCCACATGACCGTACTGCCCAGGGAATCCCCATCGTTGCCCGTGAAGGTTCCCCGGCCTCAGAAAGCCACCATAGACGAGGTCGCTGGAGATGGCAGCCAAGGGATATGCCCAGATATTACGAGTTGCCCGCTTCGCTGCCCTCACAAGTGGTTGGGCTGCAACAACCATAATCCATGCACAGTGCAGGAACCCGCCAGGAGCCACCACTAGGGTGAAAGCAACGGCATGACGCAATCCCGTGATAGGCTGTGCTGGCAATAGATATTCGTCGAAGCAACACCAAAAAAATCCCAGACGTTCGGCCCGAACCAGGGTCCACGAGGCGAACAGCTTCGGCTGAGCATCTTTTGTGAGTGATTCACGTATTCGCTCAAAAGTGTAACGTAACGTGTCAACTATGGTGGAACCACTCGTCAACAATCGGTAGCTTTCGCACAGTAACCACATCCTTCCCGCTCCACCGCCGTGATTTATGGCGGTGATGCCGCAGCCGCGTTCTAAAGTTCCCCTGTCATTATTTTCATACATATTGTGGATCATGTGCTTCTATCACCCCCACACTCTCGGCACATTCAGCTGAATGTGCATCAAAGGTTATCCCTTGACTGAGTGGGTTACGAGGTGTGCTTTCAACCCCTTCAAGTCGAAATTCGTTTCCCCCCTCCCCCGCAATTTCGTTTCCCCACGCCCCCGCAATTTCATTTCCCCCTCCCCGTCGAAATTCGTTTCCCCCCTCGCCCGCAATTTTGTTTCCCCCCTCCCCCGCAATTTCGTTTCCCCCCCCTCCCGCCAATCTGTTTCATCCCTCCCGCCATTCGGTTTCACCCACTCCCGCCATTTCACCCCCTCCCGCCACCTACGAAATGCCCGAAGCTCTAGCGGAATCATTTTTTTGTCGCCCCTCGTGAGCCAATCACTGTTTTTCTCCAAACCCCCTTCCCAACATCTCAAGCCGAACCGCGTTGAATGTGCACCCTACATCGATGTTCCGTACGCTACTATGGGCGGATTATTCAGCCGACCGTTCAGCACCCAGAAAACGACGACGCATCCCAGTCCAGTGGTGCTAATAACGGGATGCTCCCAAGGTGGCATCGGCTATGCTCTCGCGGAGTAAGCTCGTTACACAACCAGGTAACGTTCAATTAGAACGGTAAGGACGCGAGGTGGTTTGACTATGCGAATACCGACATCAAATCATTCTGCAAAAGGCAGGCAGCGTCGAGCTGTGCTGCTGAATCGGCATCGCGGTTCGTGTAGTAGTAGCGGTGCTGTGAGGTGTATTTTGAGGCGCCTCAAAATACACCTCAATGTTCGTGTAGTAGTAGCGGTGCTGTGAGATCGACTCGACATTCCGTCTCCGGTTTCCTCCCTCCGTCCTCGCTTCCCAGGCATTTCCCTTATTCGTCACGAACTGGAAGAACCTCTTCTCACGATCTCCGCCTTCTAACCCTGCGAATTCGTCCCCGTGGCATCCCTTCTCGTGTCGCGGAGAGGTGTCAGTATTTGCAAAAATCTACGAAAGTGTATGTGGGAAGTTTTCAAATTACGTTCCACTATGCGTGGCATTTCGTCTCTGTCACGCCGTTTCCAGGGAGATGGCGCGGAGAGGCGCGCGGGTGTACGCGAGTGCGGTGAAGGCGGCGGAAATGGAGGGACTAACTGTCAGCACCGGGATTCGAACCCTCGAGCTTGACGTCACGAGCGAAGAATCCATTCAGGTAGCTCGATAATGATTTCGTTTTAAAACCCGCGGGCCAAGAACCCCTAAATTGGTTCAAACTTAGGTCGAGGACGACCCTGGCACCCAAAATCCCGGCC